CAAAAGTTTGAGCTTTCGTTGTCATGAATCTATTTCTTTTTATTACTTGGTGAAGCACTTTCGGAAAATGTAGACGCTGATCGAGCGGCCTAGTTTCAATTTGTATCTAACCATTAAAGCTTCTTGTCTTCTTTTTTCTTCTTCCTTTTGTCTTGCTTCTTCTTGCATTTTTCTTCTTCTTTCTACTTCTTCTTGTCTTGACCGTTCTCTTTCTTCTTCTTCAGCTTTCATGCGAGCTCTTTGTTGAAGCTGTTCTTGTTCTTTTCTCGCATTCATTTCTTGTTTCTTTAATTCAGCTTCATATTCATCCTGAAACTTGACATAAGTAGCCGGAACTATACCAGATTTTCCATCTTTATGCTCAATTGTCCACCAGTCAGAGCTGCTGACATAATCTGTTACTAATATCTGTTCATTCTCGTCCAGTTGTGTTTCTTCTTTATCTTGAGGGTCGAATTTGTAGAGGGCAATTGCCCATTTTGGTTCACAAGCAGGTGTGTCTATACTTGTACCTGTTTCTTTTGGTGAAGTTAATTCTTCTGTATAGTTACGGGGAATAAGACCAAATTGATCATCTTTTGTTGCTGCAAAGTACCAATCAGGATCATCCTTATAATACAAGGTCATTACATCATCAATTTTAAAGGAAAGTTCTTCGGATGATTGTGCCTGATAGTCATACAATGCTTTTACTGTTCCAATAGATTTATTCTAAAAATAGAAAGAGTTGAGCAAACCCTTTTTATATGTGTGTAGCAGCCACGAACTTTTTCAATATAGTTGGAAGGGACTAAGCCAATAGGTCCATCAAAGTCTTTTGTTACAAGTTGAGCTTTATACCAATCAGGGTCATCTTTGTCAATTATCAAAAGGGTGTCATCTGCTTTTAAGGATAATTCTTCATTACTCCGAGACTGGTAATCATAAAGGGCAGTGCATATATCAATAAACTTCATATGTATTATGCTTTTTAAAAAAAGAGAAAGAGAAAGAAAGGAGTGTGTGTGTGTTTTATATAAGGACAAGAAAGAAAAGAGGTGTTTATAAAAGCAAAAATATCATCGTGATATTGATGACACATGAAGGAGAATTGAGAGGCCGACAGACCGAATTAGATTGGAAGACCAAATGCTGAGCTGGCTGGCGTTTTATTGTTTAAATGGATATAAAGCAAGTAAACTATCCTTATAGTAAAGCTACTTTAGATGACTTGTCTTTCTGAGCATTTGTCAAGGACATTTTTTCATTGATTCTTTACAATAACTAAAAATGTGAATAGGATTGAGTTCTCTGTGTGAATAATATGGTATTGGCAACCTCTGTTATCCAAATATTGCTCTACTTTTATCACTGTGTCCATAATCATAATAAAGAAACTTTATCCCATGATTGCAAATAAGGGGAAGCAAAGACTTAATATCAGATAATTACCACTGATAAAGTTGAAGTAGCTCACTGCAAAACTATAGGCACTTGCTCAAAAATGAAATAAAAAAGTCGTTTAATTATAGTGTAAAACTTTGTCTACAATAAAATAAATAATCATCAAAGACAGCATATGCGATAAGTTTATTTAAAAGAACAGAATAAACAACAGTATCCTCTGAATGTTGTTAGTTACAGTCATTCTATTGTCATCCTTTTTTTTTTTTTTTTTTTGTAAGCTAATTCCGTTATGTAGCCGGTTATTGTGGGTAATTAAGCTAAGAATACAGTTAAGAAGAATAATTTTATTTGATGATAATTTTTAATGGCCAATAAATACATAGCATTTTCATGCTGTACTGCCTGGGTCAGGTCGCAGTGAGAAGGAATGAAAAACCTTTTTGGGATTAAAGGGAAAATGTAAAATTATTACGTATTAGAGATGATAGTTAACTATCTGAAAGTTTTTGCTGAATGTAACAAAGGGCTCACCAAGATGGTTTGAAGCTTCAGGGAACTGAGAGTGAGCTAAGTAGTCCATTTCGAGTAATATTGCATATATGGAAGGCCAACGAATGAGCCAGGCATCGATTGATTTCCTCACCTTCTTGGTAAGGAATGTTGGTGGTAAGAAGTTTAAAAGATGGGAAAGCGGATCGTCAATAGATTTGGGCAGCTGAAGGCGGTTGTGCATACCTAAACAAGAAAAGTTATGCAAGTGTGAAAAAAGTTCATTTGGAAGAAAGGGGCAGGCTTAGGGTTTACCAAGAGGTAATCAACCAAGTCGTCATCGCACGCAACGAGACCGTTTATTTCTTGTCATTGGTATTCGAAGAATGGGGTCAACAATTAGATCATTACGGCAATGGGACAGAAGTTTAAATGCTTTTCTTGGAGCTTGGAACGGTGGTTGTCAATCAGGAACTGTCTTCGTTTTCTAATAAAATTATTATGAGACATAGCTTCAAGATGCTCATTGCTGATTGATGTCCATAAAATTGATTTGGGTAGTTGGAACCATTTCGAGATACGTTGCGATTGTATGTATGGTAGCAGTTTTGTTAATAATGCATCGTCTGGTAGGAAGGAGGTTCTGAAAAGAAATTATGCTTGAAGTATGGAAATACGATCCTTCATGTTCGGTAAATTTGTTAAGTGTAGCATTACCTTGGTAAAGGTGAAGGGTCGTTCGCCGAAAATTTGACGAATGCATTGGCTTTGGCAGTTTTCGAGAGATTGAATTTCTCGTAGATTAAAGGTTGTAATTGCTAGACCATATTCTAGTTGTGGCCGGACTATCTGGGCATAGAAACGTGCTGAAAGGAGGCAATCAAGCCCATTTTTGTTGACTCCAAGAGTAATAAGTTATCTCATCGCTCTAAGTGCTTTGTTGATGTTTTTTTGTAAAAGTGCTGATTTGTCGGCAATACCACCGGATTTTATAGGAACACCAAGGTACGGGAAGTAGTCTTCGTTGGGTAGTTCACTATTGTAGAGGTATTATTTTTGACGTGTAGGGTTGGGATCAATAACAACGCACTTTTTAGGATTGCATCGATAACTTAAAGACTGTGCCCTTTGCATTTGGAAAGGAGGGAGTGCATTGAATCAACATCGTCCACATACAATAGGCTGTTTAACTTTGGAGCGACAATGAGAGGGTCATTAAAATCTGTGTCGACGAAAGGTGCTAGTCGTAAGAAATTTGGAAGGTTATTGATATAGACTGAGTATAGGTAAGGTGATAATACAGACCCTTGCAGGACGCTAGTTTCTGGATGAAAACGGGAGGAGTTGTGGTTACTGACGTGTATGATGAGATAACCATTACAATAACTCGAGTATAATTTTACAGTAGAGTGTACATTCTACTTTGTATTTCTCTACCGCATGTGAAAAGAAAAGAATAAGCGTACTGACAACATTGATAAATAATCACACCATTGATATTAATATAAATAGCAGCCATAGATTCTCTACCCAGGTAAACCCTCATACAAACTTTATAATATTTAGCTCTTCTTAATAAAGAATCGAACTCGCAAGTCATTGACTCAATAGTCTTTTTACAATAACAAAGCTGAATACAATAAGACTGCAGTAAATATATTCGAGACTTCAAATTTTTCCTTTGAACACCAAAAAGAGAAATTTACTGACTTATTTATAATGGAAATTAAGAAAGACGATAAAATCAATTTAGAGCTTCAAGTCATGCTGAACCAACTAATTTTGTTAAACGTTGCCGAACCCGTTGTTTATGGGATTGTGATTAAAGGTAATAATATATATGTATACCGTATAGCGATATATATAAATGTAACTTTATAATTTATAGAGCATGAGCCTAAAATTTACCAAATGACTTTCAAGAATGGCATTTATCTCGTATGTGACAGAAAGATTGTATTTATCGAGAAATACAAAGGATGTTTGCCTTGTTCCTCGCGTGGTTACAATTTTTTGATGTAGTATACGAATTTATGAAGCATCGTCATAATTACGCGAGAGCTAAGTGATCTTGATTGTTCCCGCCCTCCTCTCTCTGCTTTCTTCTCGGTTTGTTTGTTTGTTATATTCTCACTCAAGAAGATAAAGGATCAAAAGAAAAGTTTTTATATTACTGTGTTTTATTTTACAAAGCTCGAAGTGTAATTAATAAACTTAGTTTCGTTAGACTACTATAAGTTCTCTTTTTTTTTTCACTGGTTTTGTGATGAATATATTGATGGTCAAAATTCCTACTGCTTGCTAGGAATTTCTACTGAATCTCAAAAAATTCTACTGGCAAAGCACTATAGTAGGCACTTTATGTCGAATATGGTACAATAAAAATAGTAGATATTTATTTCTTTTTTAGGTAAATATATATACTTATAAGTGTGTGTGTGTATAATATACAAAGTGGTGATGATATACAATCATAAAAGATATATGAATAAGATCGGAAATGGAACAAGCTTTCTTTATATATCCTATACACGTCTCCAACCACCGCCATAAGGATAGCGTTCTTTCCAACCTCTATAGGTAGCAGAATCACGTCGAATCATACACCATTGAATTAAGGAACCAACGAGAGCAAGACCTAAACAGCCAGCGAGCATACCCCTTAAAGCAGGTGTTGCGTCAACTACTAAATCCATAGTTCTTGCATGCAGGAGTTGATTGACAAGTTCCAAGAATCCGGTCTTGACGTAGATATCGACACCGACAAAGATAGCAAAAGAACCAATGAATGCAGTAGCAATGACAAATACTGGACGTTCGAGGAAAGCGATGAGAATAACACCAGCAACAACAAAACAAACAATCAAGATAGCTCGACCCCAATTGGACTGAATAAGACCATTTGTATTCCATGACAACAACCAAAGGGCAGCCAAGTAACCAAGCAGAGCGCCTAATAGGTACACTGCTAAAAAGAAGCAGCAACATAATAATCCACCACAGAGAACACCGGCAACAATACTGACAACCAACAAGATCGTATCCGTATTAGCTCCGTAATCTGCTTTGGCATTTGTCAGGACAATAAAGGCAACATTAGCGCCTACATAAAATCCAACGATGAACATTGTAAAACTTTGAAATACGCCTAATTGAATTTTATAAAATATTAGTTATTGTCTAGCAACAAATCAAAATAAGTGAATGTACCTCCAAGAAAACATAGATAACCACCCGTAACAAAAGCAACTACACTAAATACGATACCATGTACTGTCACTGTATGACCGGCAACTATTGTTAAAAAGGTTAATAAACAATAATATCAAGTAGTAATAAGTGTTACATGTAATAGTGGCTGAATTTCCATCAACACTTCCAATAGGTGCAGCATCGGCAAGGAATGTACCAAGAATAGCCAACAATAGGAATAAATACAATGTAGTATTTCGTTTAGAGAAAAACATAATAATAATAATGAATAAAAGCAAGAAAAAAAAAAAAAAGAAAGTTTTAGGGCATTTTTATACATGTATTTTTGTGCCGATGATTTATTTATAAATAGTTTCTTGGCGTAACATAAATTCCGTTTATTCAAGGCCTCATGGTTGCTTTGTGATACGTTGCATCAGCCACATCACCTCCTCCTTTCCCTAACGACGCTCGGGATCAGCCAAGCGATGAATAGTGACATAAGGGCCAGGTACTAAATTACTTGCATCTAAATAGAAAAAAGTTAGTATCATATAAGGGGAACCTTTATTTGATTTACCTTGTGGAGTAATTAAAATATACTGTGATGAATTATCCCCAGCAGCGTTCATCTATATCAAGAAGTGTATTAGTGGACAATGCTCTTCTATATTACTCCTAATACATACGATCATGTTCATTGTCTGTTTTCTATTCACAGCATCCATAAATACATCAAATTCATCAAGACTAAATTTCTATTAGTGTCTATTTAAATGTAAATTACAGTGAAACTTACCAAATAACAGGCGAACTAATACTTTGCCATAAAGACAAGAGTAAACTGATCTGGGAGTATGACTTTTCACCGCCGGATAGTGATCTTGAATCCTTTTGTCGGCTTCCCTTACTGTATTGATCACCTGTAGCAACCCGGATTTCTAACTTCTTTGCCCTGTGGTTAAACTTTAATGCTCCCTCATCTCCTCTCTTCAAAAGGTAATATGCAAAATATGTCTTGGCAGCGAGCGCTATGTAATCTCTAAACGTTTCCCACCTTTCCACGCGATGGCTTAGCATTTTTCCTAATGCTCTACATAGCTTTTCCATGTGTTCAATCAGGCTTTTTGCGTCTTTCCATTCTTGCATAACCCTAATCGCTGTTGCTTCAATTTCAGCCACAGAGGCGCCGATATCTTGTGCTATGCGCTCTGCTTGGCTTTCAAGGTACCTTATTTCTTTTTCAATATCCGTAGGATTTCTATTGGTTTCCACTCGATTAGGGTATTCGTCAATACTATCCTTTATCCATTGTTTAACTAGCTTTTCGCATTCTATATACTGTGTCTTGCGGGCTTCATATCTCATCCTGTCGTTCTCTTGATCGGCCTTGAACCTATCCGACTCGTTCATAGCCTCTCTTTTTTGTCTTTCAAGTTGTTCAATCTTTTTTCTATATCCATTTGATACGCTTTCTTTAGCATTCTCTCTTTGTTCAATAACACGGATCTTCTTCATGACTTCTTTAAGTTCGCTATGAACCTTTTCCTTTTGGCCTATGATACTCTTAAATTGCTGAGCATAGTTACGGATCGTCTCGTCACACTTTCTGATATCCTCTTCGTACATTTGTAAGTCAACAGGCTCATCCTCTTTAAGCTCGTCTTGCTTTAGTTCAATTCTATTTTTAAGGTTTCCAATTTCTTTTTGTAGTATATTGTAATGACTTCGACATTCATGATAACGTTTTCTCACTTCGCCCATCAAGATGTCTACTCTCTTAATTTCTGCAGTAAGCTCGTCGTATTCTTTTCTTAGTTGAACAGCTTCCTCTTTCTTTTCTTGGATTTGCTTTCCGATGTCTGTATGGAACCGTGGGAGTCCCCTGTAGGGCTCTAGTGTATCTGTCTTCATACCCTTTTTACCACCTACTTTATGTCCACTACTAGTAAAGCAGAGCTCGACATTACGTGGTCTGTTCCTCATCAATCGATCAGCCTCTTCACGGTTTTCCATTAGAATAGTGGATTCAATTTTGTTAGCAATGATCATCTGACGCTTAACCCACTCGTCTTTGAATGTCAAGGCTCTTAGCGCTGTAAGGTGTTGTTCATCAGGCTCGCCCTCTGCATATTCAAACAAATCGTAAGGAGCAACCATCACAGGAATATAGCTCATGTTATTTCTTTTGAGAATCTCTATAAGAAGTTGTTTATCTTGGAAGCTTTCAACTACAAACGCATTCAGGGTTTTGCCCAAGTAGGATTCCAAGATATTGGCATACTGGGAATACTTGAGCTGAACGAACGTGCCAAAGGGTCCAACAGGACGTCTCTTTTGCCAACGATTTTCGCGACGAATCTCTTCCAGAACCTTTGGCATATTTTCACCGTAAGCTGTGAGATGATTGCCTCGCTGAGTCTCCATACTACGAACTTGGTTTTGAAGTTGAATAGCCTGGTTTCTTTTAAGTGATGATTCTCGTTCCAAGCCTTCCTTTTTTTCTTTGAGCTTCTCCATTTCCTTTTCCAAGTCTTCCTGTTCCTTTTCTACTTTTTCACGTTTCTTTCTGCGCTCTTGAACCTTTTCTTGCATTTTATCGATTTCTTCTTGAATATCCGTTCGCTTCTTTCTGCTATTCGCTTCTAGCTTGGCGGTTTCAGCTTCCAGTAGCTTCTGATTCTGCTCTCTTTTAGCCTTTGTAATTTTCACGTCTCGATTGATTGCAGCTAAATCCATCTATATACACAAAAATGAGACTACTAAAAAGACACAATTGATCAACACTTACATCAAAATTACGAACTGAATCTTCTAACTTTTGCTTTTCTGCTGATAGCTTATTCTTTTCTTCTTCATCTGGATTCGGTCCATTCTTAAACTCTTCCCAATCGGCTCTTACTTTCTCGATAGATTCAGTCTTTTGTCTAATTCTCAGTTTACTTGTCTCATGTCTTTCTTGAGACTCTTTGTAAGTCCTTTCTAATAATTCAACATCCCTTTTGAGTTGAGCAGCTTCTTTTTCTTTTGCAATGATCTGTGACCAAACAAGTTCATTATTCAATGCATCAATCTTACTGTCTATCTCCTTGGCTTCCTGAATATCCTGTTGTCGTCGTGCTGCCTCATTGGCTCTCTCCAACAAAGCAGGTAAGGCTTGCTTCTTACGTTCGATCGTTTTCATTGCTGTCTCCAGACTCTCACGTACGCTGTCAAAATCATTTCGTAACTGTGTTAACTGTGTGCCGTGCATAAAAAGTCTATACTTGTCTTCAGAAGAACTGTCGCTAAGAAATTTTCTAGCCATGTCCTGAGTCAAGACAACAAGTGGGTTATTGACCATAATATTCATATGATCCAAAATAGCAACCAAATCCTCCTTTTTTGTTGAAATAACTCTGCCAGAAGAGTTCTTGATCTTGTAAGGTGAGGCACCGTCACGGTTGAGTCTACGTTCGACAATGATATAATCAGGAAATATATCTGGTTTATATGCGTGTTCTCCGCGGTTGGTAATATGAATAGTGATGATTGCAGCACTATAAAAGTTCATTAGTGGCTCATTTTACTTTCTATTATAATTCTTTACTTTGTGCCTTCTTTGATCAGTGAAGAGACTGTCTTTGCACGATTGGTCATACTAGCATTGGCCCCAAGAGCAATCGTAAGTGCTGTCAAAATGGCGCTCTTACCACTTCCGTTATGTCCAATAACAAAGTTGATCTTGGGTCCAAAGTCGACTTTTAAATATTTATGACACATAAAGTTAACAACCTCAACCCTTGCAATAGTGCCATATGTCATAATATCCTATACATTGTACATTGTTGGCAGAGAGTTTTTTTTTTCTTTTTTTTAACTTGATTGTTACCAAATCATTAAATTCAACGGTCTGACGTGAAGATTGTGCCACTTGTGGTGTAAAGACTAAATCATTATCCTCTAATTCGTCTTCTTCCGATTCATTTGTAAACCTTTCCTCTTCTTCTTCCTCTTCATGTCTGGCAATCTTTCTTGATCTCTTTTCTTTAACTAATTCAGGCGATTCCTACTTTTGATCATGAGAAAAAAAAAAAGATGCTGCAGGGAATTCAAGGTACTAACATACGTCAGAAGGTTCATCAAGTGAATCATTAGAAAGACGACGTTTTAAGGATGGCATTTCTATATAAAGGATTGCGTAGTGTTTAGAAGAAGAAAAAAAAATGAAAGTCTCACTTTTAAATGCAGGCGCATCTTTTGTATGTCTTTTTACAATTTATGTGTGAGATTTATTAGAGAGCAAAAAAGACGAATTACATACAATAATATAGTAATACTTTGAATTATAACAAGTGTTGGGCAGCAACAATAGCAGCCAAACCAACAGCAACCATAACCTGAGCTGGGTTGCTGTTTTGAGAAGCAGAAGAAGCGTGAGAGGCACCGGCACCCTGTGAAGTTTGGCTGGAAGTAGAAGAAGATGAAACAGAGGCAGGAGTAGCTACTGCACCAGAATTGTTGGTGTTACTATTAGCAGAAGAAGAAGAAGAAGGGGCAGAGTTAGCAGAGGGAGTAGAATCAGAGGAACTTTGAGCAGGAAGAGGGCCACCAGTTCCACCTTCGATGGTAAAAGCACCCGTGAAAGCAATGTCTGGAGAAGTACCAAGTTCAAAAGCATCTAAAGAATATATTTGTTATACATGAAAGCTTAAAATAGGCTGCTTATTGCTTACAATCATTGCCATCAGGAAGCTCCTTGGGGACTTTCCAAACGTATTTCATGTCATTAGCGTTTACATTAGTAGCAATAGTCATAAGAGGTTGAAGGGCAGTAGCAGGGCCTTTAGCCAAAACGATCTGAGGGATAGTAGATACTTTTGAATTGACCCAGGAGATAATCACTTCAGTTCCGGCCTTGACACGAGTATTTGCCAAAGGAGATGTAATAGACACGATGGGAGTTTGTGCAGAGACAAAAGAGACAATATAAGCAGCAGAGACGAGTAATGCAGCGAGTTTCATATTAAAAAAGAGATATTGTAGATGAAAAGGACGAGAGTTTTTTTTTTTTTTCTAGGATAGTGAACTCGTATTTATACTCATTTTCTTTAAGGAGAAAATAATAAGGAAACAACAAAAAGAAGTAGTGATAAAAAAGTGATCGTGTTCAGGGAGGCAGTAAAGAGCGAATACTTTTCCCTTTGAAAACCTGATGCTTTAGAGCAACTTCTCCTTACATATTATAAAGCTTGTTGCTCCTGATGCCTTGAACGTTGTTTACTCCTATAAACTCATGGAAATGATCTATCCTACTTTAGATAAGGCTCTCTATTCTATTCCCCTCCCCCTTTTTTTTGACAGAAAATCTATTTCTTTCTGGCTGACATGTATGTTTTGTCTATCAATCCAATTGATAAAGTTTTGCTCCTCTTTTGCGTTAATCTAACCTCTCCTTCCCCCCCCCTCCTAAACATTATTTTTGATCAACATATACTTGAAATAAATGATCTTTATATTAAACGAGCGTGGCATTCAAGTTAGAATGGTCAATTAAAGTTGAAGGATATGGAGATTTATGAATCGTTGAATTAATATGAGACTATTTATCACAGTTCTTTAAGATTGGATATGATTGCTTTATTACGTAGTTATTATTTTAGGTTATTGTTGTGTATGTACAAAGGGCTTGTTTATATATATTTTACATATCAATTATATATATATATTATATATATATATATATACAACGTATTACAGTCTCTGACAATAGTTAATAGGAACCCAACCAGATGAATCACTATCCTTAAGTGTTCCATACCACCAATCTGGATCCATGTGATCTTCGTCTTGGTGTACAACTAGGATATCACCTCTTTTCACATTCAACTTGTCTTTTTCATATGGCTGATAGTCGTAAAGCACCACACATTCAAAGTCATGTGGGAGGTTTTCCTGTGATGTAAAACTTGGTTGGGATGTGTAGACTTTGCTAGATGCTATAGATAAATAATTAGTAATGTGTTGTTCCTGAGCAAAAAACGTGGTTTACCTGTAGAATTTAATGAATGTAAGGATCGTAAAGATCGTTGGTCAAAAGAAGAGCTACTTTCTGTTCTTGTCACATAACGATCAGGATGCAGTATATCAATTTGATCAGCAATGACCTGTAGTCTTTCATACTGCTGCATATATTTTGTGATAATCTCCGCATAGCCTGACGCTGCCTTCTCTCCCAAATGCTGCTCGACTAGCTTTGTCCATTCTCGTTGCATGAGTTTATAAAACTTGGTTTGAACATGCGCTAATCCACCAACGAGAATATCAAAATACTTGGCAGTCAATTCAAAGAACTTGGGAAGTTCCTCCACAAGTTGTGCATTGATAGAAACGTAGGCATCAGCAGACTCTTGAAGCGCTTTGTCTGGGATATCCCCCTTAGATTTCATGTCTCGTACCCGATCATAATCTATCATCTTTAATGACCGTTTATGAATCACTTGAGCTGGATTTTCAAAGACCTTTAAGAATTCATCAATGCGACTATAGACAAACCCACGGACGTCATTATCCTAGTCAGAGTAAATAAGCCATACTATTGTTAAAACTCTTTTCCTTACTAATTCTCTAGATAGCGATACTGATAAGTGAGACGCCATTTTACTAAATTCTTGTATGTTTGACATGCTCTTCACTCGAACACCACCCCAAGAGCTGTAGAATGTATCAAAGTTACATGCAAGTTGATGTAGATTTTCAAACATGATCTTTATATGTCGCACCCAGCCCTGTACGTCTCTAGCCAACTGTCGAATGTTTTCTTGCTGTTCTTCAAATTTTGTATGTAGTGCTTCAAACAGAATATCGTGGGTTGGTTCCACAGCAAAGCCTGTTGCTTGCTTTAAACGCTGAGCACGTCTCGTGAATTTTTTGTTGATACCATGTCTATTAAAACAAATAAGTCTTTTGTATATAAATCGTTATACACACAGTCGTCTTACACCACCTAATAAAGACATTAGTTTTTCTAGTCTCCCTTTCAAGCATTTGTTTCTCTTTCTTACATTAATATCTGTCTTCTTTTTATCACCAACTATTTTCTCCACAATATCCTTTCTTCTCTTGATCTCATTAATATTCTCTGCTACTTCTTCTATTTCTTTGAGCGCAGAAGCAAGATCATCATGATCCAAATGTGTAGGCGAGGTAAGCGTTAGAATCTCTCTTAATAACAGTGGATATTTGAGGACTCTCTGCACAGGTTTAATCAGTAAACTACCTAGATCCCAGCTAGTTGTTTTCCCCTGAAGCTGCTCTTGACATTTCTATTCACATTATTAAAAAAAAGAGTTGTTTTTTTTTTTTTTAGTTATTCTGAACATACTACTTTTTAGTTTTTCAGCAGCTTACATTTAAAAATGCCTGAGCTTCTGCCTGTGTCTCCAGTTCCTGTAATCTTAACACAGCATCTTCGTGCCTCTTGCAGTAGTCACTATAAATACTATCTATGGTACGCATCTAAAGATACAAAGGTAAGTAAAACAATAGAGCAAATTGTTGAGACTCACTGATTCTCTAAAAGCTGTTCCTATCGTATCCTGTTCATATGAGTGTTCGAGTAAGACCACAAATGACTTTTCAAACTCGACAATATCCAACAGGTTGCTAAATAAATGCCGTACATCTGACCTTGAAAGACACTCTACAGCTTGATCATAGTATATCTCCTTTAGTAGTGACATATCCTTTTGGTAGGCTCTTTCTGTCTCGAGCAACTCTGTCATGACCTTTTTACGCTTTGATCCTGTGACTTGAGGTGATACTGTACCAAATGAATCTACTGTTTCGGTTGTAGGCTGCCTTCGTATAGAATTCTTGAGTGCTTCTTGTTGCTGTTGAGGGGTGTTGTTATTACTACTACTGCTACTAAACCAACTGCTAATCATACTCGAATGCCAGCCTTTCTTGTTTGAGTATTGTGAACTGGAAGTAGAAGATGTGCTCACGATGCTACTGTTTCCAGTTTCTGTGCGAGGAATAACGTTGGGCATATATAAAGAAGTGTCTGGTCGTGATCGAGGTTGTTCAGGCATTTCATTTCTTAATTTGGGTTTGGTGGGTAAAGTAGGTGGACCAGTTCTAGCAGGTATAATCACTTTCTCGGGTAATGCTGGTCCTGTCTTGGAAGGTTTCAAAGGTATTGGTGGTCGATAGTGGGTCTAGTAAAGCAAGTTAATACATGTTCTCTCGGAGAGTTTATTTTGTAATAACCTTGGGCTGAATAGGTATACTTGACTCGTTTTGAAATTTCGCACGAATGTCTTTAAAGGTAAGTGGAACTTCGTCTATTATTTGCTCCCTTAGCAAAGGAGGCTTCGATGGTGGAGTTGGCTTATCAAGATGACTTGGTTCAAATACACGCGAAAATCTGTTTATACTTTGACGTGATTGTGGTCTACGCTTTGTCTCTAATATCCTCGAGAAGGCGTCATTTCCATCCATGTTATTATTATGTGATTGTATAAATATAGAAAATAGAGAAAGAAAGAAAGCCTATACACAAAAGGTTGGAAATTGAAATATACACATGCGCATTTTCAGCCTCAGCGTTCTTCAATTCATGAGCAACTCTACGTTTTATCTACTGTCAACTAGGACAAATGATTACAAGTTGAGCAATCAATTGATCTGTTTCAAGGTACATAATATGTCTTTTTTTTAAAGAAAAAAAAAAGTCTAGAATATAGAACCCATCATACACTGATGATAATAATAAAGAAGCTTAATTTGGGGTATCCTTTTTTATTTACTTTACAGGCTTAAATTTTCACAAAAAGCTTCCCATTAGCCATGATCATACGTAAAATAAACATAATGATGGCAGATACCATCGTCACAGAACCTCCAAATTGAATAGCAGCTGTCCAGTTGTAAGCATTCAATAGCTTTCCTATCACTGGTGTTCCTACTAGGTTACCAAATACGGTTGTCATATAAGCCATACCAAGCCCACGCTGAATGTTCTCCACTCCAACGATATCTGCTGTGGTCACAGGTAATAAGGAAACAAAGCCGCCTGCCGTCAAACCGTAAAGAACACAGAAGGCAATAAAGGAGGCATAAGTAGTGGAGAATTGCCAGAGAATCATGGTAAATAGTGCTTTATGATTTATAACATTTAGCTTTGTATTCAATTCTTGTTTGTTATTTTCTTACCTGCCAAAAAAGTAAATGTAAACATGGTATTAAATCTTCCAACGCGATCTGCAAGATAGCCTAACGCAATACGGCAGATAGCATTTGTCGCCGACATAACGGAGATCATGGCCGCACCCGCAGATGCGTCTAAACCAAGATGCTGGGTAAATTGAGGAGCCAAGAAAAAGGGTGTGACATAACCAAAAGGTACAAAGAAACTGAAGGCAAGAAGCAGAATGTACCTTGTATTCATGAGACTCAAGTCAAACACATGATACCATTTATTTTTCCCCCCCTTCATAGGAGGCGGTCTGTAACGTGAATTGGCTAAGGCAGTTGAAATACAGAGTAGACCGAAACCAAAGGCGCCCTGTACTCGTAATGAATTGCGATATCCGATATTTGCAATCAAGTTTTGTGTCATGGGCGACAAACAGACACCACCAATGCCTGATCCGCTGACTGCAAGTCCAGTTGCTAATGCTCTTCGTCTAGTAAACCATTGCGAAGGCAAGGTAACTGAAGGTGAAAAGACAAAGGCCGAACCAAATCCATACAAGATACCCTGAGACAGATAGACATGCCAAAGCTCGGTAGCAAAACTTGCCAAAATTAATCCAAGCGGCGTAAGAATTGTGCCGATCACCATCGTTCCTCGAAATCCGAGTTTTTGAATAACAGGCGTCATAAAGACTCCCAAGCCTAATAGCATCGAATTTGCAGATGTGCCAACAAAGGCAATTCGAAATAGATCTGTCTTATCAGCATAGATTTCATTTACATATCTAGACCTATGTGTTAGTCGACTTTAAGGAGTGCTAATCATCTCTTTTACATCTTTTGATAATTTCCCCAGGAAAAGACGGTTCCGAATACAAAAAAATTTACAAGAAAACAGGAAATGACCGAGAGCCATCCAGGATTCCGTAGGCCTTCAGTATGATATGCCTCTTGTTTAAATTCGGGTTCTGATGGCTCTTCTTTACTATCAGTTGCTTTAGTGCTATGGTCTGTCTTTGTTCTGGATAATGTTTGTGTAATTTCTTCGAGGGATCCCAAGGCGGGAAAGGGTGCATATTCTAATACAGGTGGATAGTGTTCTTCGTGCTCTATAGATGATTGAACTGTTCTTTCATCACTATGTTGTGACTTGGTTGTATCTTCATTTGTTGTCATCGTTATTCAAGTGGAGAAGAAGAAGAAGAATTCAGCAAGGTACAACAATTAAAGATTTTGTTACACTTGGATCAGTAAAGGAAATGGGTAAAAGTTGACGCAGAGCGACGTTGACCTTCTGAATTTGCCATTTTTATATCATTTCTCGACATTTAAATAATATCAAGTATTTTATTAAGCGTTAAAGCAAGAAAAATACGTTGCATGGACAAGAAGAGACATTAAAAGCTCCTTTGGATTCAAAGGCAAGAATAAAGTTACTGAGAGTGTTCCATTCAAAGAGATGATTTCCTCGGGAAAGTAGGCCTTGCTGATGACCTCAGATTTAAATTCAGAAAAAATGACAGGATATGATTGGCGTGCTCTTTCAGTTGTTGATCCAAGACAATAACTACGTTTTGATACAATCAATAGATTCATTAGGCTCTACGTTTTGATACGATCTATAGAGTGATTGACAACTGTTGATATGAACTGGGCGTTACCATGAGTTAGTATTTTGGAGAGTGTATAAAATGTACGATAATTTTCTCGTAAGTGGAGTTTGCTACAGTCTCAGTAGTTGCAATCGCAACTACGCGAGTAATTGACCAATGCATTGTGGGAAGCTCTTCCGCAAAAAGCAAGTGCCAGTGTCCAAATGATGGTGATATATCCATATATGTATGTGGTATTTATGTTTGTTGTAATTGAAGTCAATTGCCACGTTAAACAATTAATACCAGTAGTATTGTTAGTAGTAGATCATAAAATAAGTAATATTATTCATAATACATCGAGCAGAAAGAGAAAGAGATCCTTTCAGGCACTCTTAAATGTGGATATCAAGTGTTACAAAAATACAATGTCTTGTATCACCCAAAATGCCTGGTTCACTCAATACATTGCAACTTTGGAGTTTTCTTTGTAATTGTAATGATGATCTCAATGCTTGTCTTAATCATATCCTTATTCTTGAGATCATAAAGCATTTGGAGAATGGATGACGCCGCTGCTAAGAGTAAAAGTCGCACTTGCTAAATTCTGATGTCACAACTATTGGTTGATTTCGCTCGCTAGTAAACTGAATATCGTATATATAGAAGCTTTATCGTACAAAATACGAGTATATAAAGCATGAAAGTCACTGTCTGTTCTCTCTTTTTATTTCAAGAAAAAGCTAAAGATTTAGTTGAAGAAATTAGTTGTCCATTTTTAATCTCAGTCAATTTTTAAGCTCTATTTAAAGTTGATCACTTACTAGCCCCTTTTTCTTTTTTTTCTTTGTGTATATTCGTCCATGACAGCTTATACACTGCTTGAACAGCCTCTTTCAAGACGAATATCAAAAAGACAATGTCAAATAATTGCTCTCTTATTTACGAGTCTTTTATTTTTATTGTTTTTCTTTTTCAAGACAACTCAAGAAGAGACCCTTCCTTATGACAAAACTTATCCTCCGGTCAGAAATATCAACTTTACAGTTCCAGGTCAGGATGACTTGGTTTATATCGATTTAGACAGATACCCTATTGAAGATCAAATAGTTCAACTTTTTGCTGGATCAAAAGATGTTATTCAAGAATATACTATCAACAAAATCCAAAAGAAAAAACAAGGCCTATGGATAAAGACACCAAGTAGAATTCAACCAGATACCTATGCTTGTAAAAATCAGCTACCACCTTATCCAATACTACGTCGTATTGTAAAAGATCATCTCGATATTGCTGATACAAATGTTTACTTTGAAGACGATGCTGGATTGAACCTCTCCCAGTCTTTTGTTTTCCTGCCTTTCGAAAAACAGCCAAAGCTGAAGAAGGGATATCGTGTCTGCATTCGAGCCCTTGTACCATTTAAGGGTCAAGGTACCCACGATCCTTATAATCTGTTCTACCGACCTTATCCAACAAATCATGAACAAATTAGCTACCCTTGGTGGGATACGATGATGACCACTCTCAGAAACACTCAGACAGATGAAATTACATCATTGACTATGAGCCCCTGGCTAGGACATAAGCAGTTACGAATGAAATCAAGAGAGATTAGACAGGTCAACAGTGAATTACCAGAGTGGTCCAAGTTACGGAATGAATTGTTGCATGAAAGAGAAAGATTGCACATGTACGAGGCAGACTTTATTATACCAGCGGACGACGCAGAATATGAACTCTCAAGCTTGTTAGAGTTTGTGGAGGGACGCTACAACTTTGACTATGGACCAGTGACAACATATGAACCACTCCAAATGCCCGTGCTTCCATTTAGCAAGATCACTACAGGCAAAACTCAACTAAAGAAGAAAGAAGCACTGGCTGAAAAGCTACTAAAAGAACATCTCAAGCTTCCCCTCTGCAGTGGTTCCGACCATCCTGGACGTTGGTTACCTTGGCCAAATCATACAGAACACTCTACAAACCAAGTCTTAGCCCTCACTCGACACGGTAAATACTGGGCGCCTTACAGCTGTCGATACCGTCATTTGTCTTATGAACAATTCAATCGGTGTGTATCGCAAAAGTATCCACATGGTCTAGACCTTTATGGCGATTCCAATATGCGTCGGGCGATCAAGAAATTCGTCAGCCACGGCCAATGGTGTAGGGATTGGCATAAACACGTCACTGGTCCCATTGTCCCTGAAGAAAAGTTACCAACGATCCTACACAAGCGTCAAGAGGAACCCAAGGGATACAGTTCACCCCAAGAATATAGGTTCATCGTACCCGAACAAACCCGTAGCTGTTACTGTGAAGATTTCTTTGAGCCCTACTGGAATTTGGATTGGTTTAGTGGAGGAGCCAGACGTTTCTACCTTGAGATAAACAATTCGCCTGCTCAAGCGAGAGCAGTAGGAAAGACAGAATGGGATAATGAAAAGATTAGAAGAGCAAATCCTGGGGACAAGTTCAAGATTAGTTCTTACAAGTGGGACGGGCTCACATATTTCAACGAACCTTCCTGGGAAACAGCAGTGCGCGACAACGGAGAAATATCAGACGTTGCGGTGTTCTCTCTTGGTAATTGGGATAGTGCATTTTCTAATCTTGAGTCTTATCTTAAGGATGTTGATGTGTTGATTCAACAGATCAAGGATCACTATGACTTAAACAAGACTATGATCATCTATCGCACTCCTCAGTATTATTGCTGCCGTATCGATCGTGATAGTCGTCAACGCCAAGTGAGCGGGCCAAAGCTAGATGTGTTTGATATAGAAGTGCGTAAGAAATTTCAGGAGGAACTTCGCGCCATCATCTGGGACACAAAGATATTGGGAGAGACAAGAACATGGGAAGAGAAATTAGAAAGTGTAGACTGCTCTTCGAATCATGTAGCTGCAGATCTCGTAGAAGTTGAAAACCAGATATTTATGAATGTACTTTGTAACAAATAATTATACCTTGAATAAAAAAAAAATGACTTCCATTGTATTTTTCGTTATAAAAACAACTAAAAGCTTTCTTTGCAAAAGTTTATTATTGAAATGGCAAAAGGGCAACGTACAAGTAATGAAATGATAGGGCTGATGACGTGGTTTACTCATCATCCTCTTCCTCTTCCTCTTCTTCTTCCTCTTCCTCTTCTTCCTCTTCTTCTTCTTCTTCCTCTTCTTCTTCTTCTTCTTCTTCCTCCCCTTCGCCTTCACCGTTCGCAGGATCAGCAGGTTGTTCAGTCGTATCAACGGCAGAAGTATCAACAGGTTGGTTAACAGCAGCTTCCTCTGTGTTTTGACGACGAGCAAGCTTAGAATCTTCCTCATCTTCGTCCTCATCAGAGTCAGAGTCATCATCAGAGTCAGAGTCGTCATCAGAGTCAGAGTCATCATCTGAATCTTCATCGTCGTCTTCGTCATCTTCACCGCCGTAAGCTACCTCATCTTCAGCAGCATCGGTATCATCAGGGTAAATAGTGTCAATATCTTCAGTAGCAGTATCTAATTCTTCAGTGACAGGCTCGAGCTCTTCAGTGACAGCGTCTTCGTCTTCAGTGTCTCCATCGTTTGCAGCGCCAGCATCATCATTTGATGTCTCCTTGTCCTTTTGCCAGTGACGACGAGCCAAAGAGGGTTGATCGGCCGCACCTTCTTCACCGCCTCCGCTTTCTTCATCATCATCATCTTCTTCCTCTTCTTCCTCTTCTTCCTCTTCTTCCTCTTCTTCCTCTTCTTCCTCTTCTTCTTCTTCTCCTTCTTCTTCTCGGCGTTGAAAAGAGACAGTAGCACGCTTCTTATTACTCGTATATAAAGGGTGGCGACCTAAAGCAGTAGTAACGACATCTTCATCGGCAGCAACAGCACTGTCAATACTTGAGGTTGTATCTGGTAAGCTTCCAACGGGTAAAGCACGAGCAGAAATAGAGGCGATAAGAGTTGCTGCGATCAAACCAAGTGAAAGAATATTGTAACGCATTTTTAATAGTAAACTAGTTGTTGATTACTGGTGGTTAGAAAAAAAGAAGAGTACGATTTATATATCTAGGCCAAAGAGGAGAGATAAAGAGGGAGATCGCTATGGCGTACTCCTTGTGTTCTATTTTTGTCTGTCAAATGCTTGTCTATAGAAAGAAATTGCGTGCATGGCGATCCCATTTTGAGCTCTGTTACCGATCACTTTTATCTATAAAGCTTGGTAAAGTGTCATCCAACGTATGCTGAATTACTCTATATAGCTAAACGGTATATTCTCCTTTGTCCACATAAAAGCCTCCTGCATGCAATATTAAACCTTTTTTTTTTTTTTTGCTGCAGTAAATATTCATCTTTCAGGAGTACATTTTCTATTCTTTTAGTTTCTCAATTAGAAAAGGTTCAAGTGTTCGAAGTAGCAAGAGGAAGAGTAATTATTTGCTAGCTTCATGAGCCAATACTCCCTCCCCTTATGTTTCCCCCCTTCTTCCTATTATACTCAATTGCCATAAACCACTCCCCTTTTATTACATGTAATCAATTAAATACATGAAACAGACAATATAAAGGGGTAGACGCCATAAACTCATAATAGACTTTAACAAATATGATACTATGAATAAGATACAGTCCTTAGCTACGCCACAAGTTACTTTTTCCCTCAGAAGACTTGTTTATGAAATACAAGCCAAAGAAATTGCATAAAAAAGTACTCGAATGAAATAAATCATCATTGACCGCAGCATACTTTGAAATCAGTTAATATTTTTTCAAAACGCCATGCGCGCAGCTATACCTGTCTTTTTTTTTCTTTTTCTTTATTCCTTGTAAATATGACAGAAATACCACAAAGAAGAAGCTCAATATCATCATTATCATCCTACAGTGATTCCTCAATATCTGAATCATCTTCGGAGCATTCTGAAGAACAACCGTTGGATAGACAGCAATTGGAAAATATAATTATGTACAAGGTCACACATCATCTGGATTCTACTCAGTTACCTGGTATTTTAGCGATCATAGAGCGTGAAGAAGGAGAAGATGATGAAGTGGAAATCGATTTAAGTCAATTGGCGGTGAATCAACTTGAACATATTCTATCTTATGTAGACACATGCATTCATCAAAATCAAATAGCCAAGGACACATCACACAACGATAATAAAGCAACCAGTCATCGTCATCGTCATCGTCATACACGTACCACACCAACATCATCGTTATCATCAAAACCCGAGACAGGGTCGTCAAGGTCAAGGGAGGGTAATAATCAAGTCAAAAATATAAGCAAGCGAAAAAGAGCATTACATAGGCGAAGATTACTCGAGAATATGCTTGCCTCATCTAGTGAAGCCAATAGCAGTGATGACGGTGAACCCAACGTCATTGTGTTTGATGAACTACTTGGGGATAAAAAGCTAGTGAACCATACTATTGTGCATGAGCCAAAAAATCCATTGAATGTTCCAGAACGATGCCCCGAGAGCTCGCTTGAAGATAGCGATGAAGTGATTGACATTATGCTGTAAGGTCCGATTTGTGTAATAGTGCCTGATTCTTTAGTAATTAAACACAATATATAATTCAATATTTGTTTATTATTAAAAATGCTCCCCTTATCTAAAGACCCTTTTTCATTATTTCTTACACATCGTACCAAACAGGGTTCGGTAAGAGTCATCAGGAGTACAGTAGCTCAGAGGGTCACCAGATACACACACATCACCATACTGTCTCCGCGCTCTCAAGGCAATAAGGTCCCCCAAAATTGATAAACGATTCATTTTTGGTTAATCAATAAAACTATGCGCTTACACGAATAAACCTGATTGCATTATAAAAAGTGAAAAAAAGGCTGTAATCCATGTGCTTCAACTTCTTTATATAGTCCAACATCACCAGATCATGTATCACTCTACCCACACACAAATAAATTTGAATGGGGAAACCCTGAGGATAAAGATAGGACTGAACCCTTTTGATATTATATAAGAATGAAATCCCTTTTTTTTTTCCCTTTTTTTTTTTATATTATTTTTTAAGGCAAGAATCAGATGCATATCCTCTCTCCTCAATCATATTCTTCTGGTTCAAGTTGCTTGGATACATTATTTGATGGTACACACAATCATTATCTTTTTTTAATAAAGCTAATAGCAATAACTATAGTATCTTATCACAACAAGTGTACATCATTTTCAAATACTGAATATATTTATTCTGGTACATATATATATTATTTACATCTTATATCTGTCACTAATCACTTTTTATTAAAAAAAAAGATAACCAACCTATGAACTCCAATGCCTCTTTGGTACCCTCTATTGAACATCTACTATGCGACTTCCAAGCTTCAAATGATTATTATTATAGAAAGCGCCCTGGCCCTCCACCAAAGGCATATACCAGGCGCGCTGAGCAAAATCGAGCTGCACAAAAAGCTTTTCGGGAAAGAAAGCAGAAATATGTCAAAGAGCTCGAAGAAAAGGTTATGTTTATGGAACAATTAAAGATCGAACTTGAACATCTACGTGAAGAAAATATAAAAATCAAGGCATACGCAACAAAACTTGAACAACAACTCGAAGGAAAGACAATGACAACTTCGGGTATACCTCCTCAAACTAAACACGCAATCGAAAGAACCAAATCAAATCAGAGGCGACCAAAGAAAGCACCAAAACAAAAAATTCAAGCGTCTGATCTTTTACCAATTCCTCTTTATACTCCAGATAAGGCCGTCATGTTGGCTTCTTCTTCTTCGACAGGTGAGCAATCGCCTGCTACGAATTGGATTGATTCCCTCTTTATGAACTCTATGCGTCCATCTTCTCCAAGCATACAAGTAATGTAACTTAATTTATGTAAATGTACTTTCAATTATGTGTATAAAAAAAAGAATGTATTCTATCTTTTTTCAATAAAGCCTTTTTTTGTTATGTCAAGATAAATGAACAGATCTTATGTGAGAAAGTGGTACAATATGAACTTTATGTAAGACCTATTAAAATTGCCTTTTTTAAACGATCGACACCTTCTTGCAGGGTGCTTGTGTCATAATGAGCAAAGCATAGACGAACATCACAGTCTACGTTCTTTTCTACATTAAAGAGCGTGCCGGCGCCTACTTGTAGTTCTATCTTGTGAGTTTGTATGATGTCTATGAGTTTATCAGCACTGAAAGGAAGAGTAAGCCAGACAAAATATCCTCCTTTGGGTTTAATGGTAACACGACAACCAAGTGGAACTAGATGCTTCTGTATGGGATGCCAAAGTCCACTGTGAAGTCGGTCACTGAGCACCTCTCGTATGTACGCAACATGATGATGTAATACATCCTGCTTCATCATTGTGTTTATAATTTGACTTGCTACATAGATGTTAGTGTGTGTTCCCTTGCATTTTTCTTTAAACTTACACAGATAAGCAGGTGAGCCTCCAGATTTGAATGAGCCACTAAAAGAGATAATAAGTATCTGTCTTGTTCTTCAAATCCTTTACCTATCACCCAGTTGCTTAATGATGGCACTATCCGCCTCAATCCATCCAACCCTTGCCCCTGGTGAGAGTAGTTTTGAAAATGATCCATTGCTGATAACCACATGTTTTTCTTTAGGTTCCTCTAGGTCATATGCAACAAGGCGTTTAGGCACAGGCCCTTCATAGGTTAATGCGTCATAAACATCGTCACATACGATCAACATATTGTACTTTCTGCCAAGATCAACCAATCGTTTTCTTTTCTCGCTTGATAAAATAGACCCAGTTGGATTGGCATGACTGGGCACACAATAGAGTACAGAATCAAATATCATCGCATCTCTTTCCCTTCCACCATTCTGCATACTACAATGATGACGAAGATGATCTTCCAACACATTTATATCCATACCATCCTCGCCTTCTTCAGGAACGCTGACAAATTGATCACGGCGGTATCCTAAATCTAAAAAAATATCAAAAACCAAAAAATAAGTTGGATCCTGCAAATAGACGTATTTGGTCTGAGCATCTGGACGTGTAAGTATAGAGAGAATATGTTGAAGCGATAGAGACGCGCCGGGTGTGACACATAATTGCTTACTAAAAGTTGAGTTTAATAGTAAAATAGAGAATTAATGAAGCAAAAAGAGGGGAATCAAACCTTGATACAGGCATTTGGTATTCCTTGGTCAAAAACTTGGCTAAATTGTCAAGGAATTCTGGATGACCCAATTCTGGTCCATACTGACAAGATAAAAAAAGTCAACACATTGTTTTTATTAATTTAATTGTTATACCTGTAATACGTCTTCAGCTGCATTAGGCTCACTAAATAGTTGCTGGGTTGACTTGAGAAAGAGTTCGGTGGGAAGTATATCAAGTGAGGGTTGTCCTCTTTTAAAATTTATCAACATTGATTAGAAAAAATAAAGAAGAAAAAGATGAAGACATGAGAAAAAGCTGAGATATAAAAAATGAACCTTCTTTTGTTACTTCTTACAAAACCTTTTTGCGTCTTCCCTGCTTTTGATGTAAATAGTATTACATAGAATAAATGTGATTTAATGTTATCGAAGAATATTTACAGTTGTAAACTATTGTAATGATTCGTATTAACCATCCCAAACTTGCTTCTAAAAGAGCATAAACTTATAGTCAAACTCAGCCAAAAGGTGCTCAAAATATCCTCAGTTTTAGATGAAAAGTCCATATCTTTTTTAATGTTTCAACAGTTCAAGAATATATTCCCAAACGCATCACTCAATATCAGTTCAATCACGAGCTCTATAGGGTATTGTTTTATATAATATATGTGATGCTGGATAATGACGAGTTATAGCATCGAAGGAACTGGACTTAATCGACTGGAGGCCATTAAAAGTGAAATTTCAAATATCAATTCATTAATTCATAATCGTCCAGAACCAAAGTAATATAAAACAAGAGAAAGCAATCCTTTTGAAATTATTAACATTTAAAAAGTGATGGCATCGATTCACAGCAAACAGGTAGAACATCTATAACAGAACTTGAAGCAACACGTCAAACTATGCAGAAATTGGAAGAAGGTTGGGAGACGATTCATCAAAACAATATGATTAACTATAGAAAACAAAAAGTATATACTTTTTAGTCCCTTTTTATCTCTTTCAAGCACAATCACTTATAAACTCATTGTAGGCAGCCAATGAATTATTGAAACGATTGCAGCACACAGGTCAACTTCATTATACAGCTTGTCAACAGTTGGAACACTCTGAAGCCGACTTGCGTGAAATACAGACAAGCATTGGACAGATACAAAACACTGCACGTAAAAAGAAGAAAAATTTCTAAATGAGAAATGGTGCATACTTATATAATATAGTGAATCTAATAAACACCTTGGCAGCACTAGAACAGCAGATAGATCAAGCTAATAGAGAGCATCAAATAAAAGAGTTTGAACAATGGAAAGAAAATGAAGAAAAGGAATTGATGAATGAGATAGCAGCAAGGCGGTAAGGGAAACTAAAAGCGTTATTTATCATTGTATTCATGTGGATAAAATATACGTATAGGACTCTACTAGTAGAAAAAGAGAACAAATTAAAAAAGGAGTATGAAGAATATGAGAGCATTCAAAAGAAGAAAAAACTCGAGTTATATGAAGCAACATTTAACGCTGAACTAGAGGACTATAAGCGTAGAAGGGAAACTGAAATATCTTCATTATACAGTAAAGCTTCAAATTAATCATATAGAGCTCTTTTTATAACTCTATTAGATCGTAGAAACATGACGTCTGTTCAAACATCGTTAGAGCAATTGCAACTGGTAGATGAAAATAAAGAGGATCTGGATGACTTTCTAGGTACAAGCGAAGCGAACAAGACAACAACAACAATAACAACAAGAAGCGACATAAAGGAATCAAAGGATGATTCATCTTCAAGTGAAGACGAAAGAGCAGATATATTAAGGGACGAAGACTATGATGATGTGTGATTTTTTTATACACTATTTCTTTTTCACTGTAAAAAAAGAACTTATAGCTGCAGATTGTACTGTTTTCTTTACAGTTGTCTTCTTTATAGTCTTGCTCTTTTGCAATTTAGTCGATGATGTAGTTGCCTTTTTAAGTATAAGTAAATTGTAATTCAATTCTGTTTTGTTTCTTTACCTTGGATTTCTCAAAAAGTCTTAAAGCCTTCTTCAAAGCAGTTGGTATAGCGGCATTATCAAGTTCAGCCAGAGTTACCCATTTAACGCTCTCGGTGTCCATGAAAGCCTCATCTGACTTGTACTGTATCCACTCTACGTGATAGACCTTTCTGATATGAGAAAACAAGTGAATAACGTTGCCCAAATCATGCCTTTTAGGATCATTAAGCTCAATGCCGTATCTTTTCTTTAAAAAATCTGTTGTTTGTCTACTTCTGTCTAAATAATCTGTATTCAGAGACGATAGTTCAAGACTTGGAAACTCCCAAAGGCCCGCCAGCAAGCCTATGAATATATATGAGTATTCATCAAGCATTTATATGTATACATATATACCTGTCTCTGGCCTCTTGGATATGAGATAAAGAGGCTCTTTTGAAGTGATACGTTCTACAATACTCACTGCACATTCTATGTGATATAGTTTAGATCAAATGCAAAAGATCAAGATATAGACTTACCTTCATCTCTCGGTGGCTTCTTTTCTACCTTTAAAGGGTATCTATCATTTGTTTGTTATGTCTTAGAACGGTTCTCTTTTTTATTGTTTTTATAAATTACCTTGTCACTGCATAAGCATCATCTTCGGTAAGATCAGATTGTATTTCATCACATACTGTGCACTCTATAAGACGAGTTGTGGTAAATATATACATTGAAATAATATAGAAATACATCTATTACCGTGGCTGATGGATACATGCTTTCTCTTCTTTTCATTGAAAAATCCATGCTTTGCTAGATTCTTGTATGCTTGTAATTGATTTAATGCTCGACAATGTTTCTTAATAGGACACTGATCACAGTTTGGATTTTGAGGAACACAAACACGAGCTCCCAGTTCCATCATAGCTTGATTGAAATCACCAGGATTTGAGTCAGGAACAATGCTTCCAGCTATTTCCCTAGAAACAAAGGATTAAATGATCAAGATAAACAATGTAGCACCATATACTTGCCAAAATAACTCAACCGTCTTTGCCTTTTTAGGATCTGCATGAATAGCTCGCCATCTAGCCAAGACTCGAATGACATTTCCATCCACGACAGGCGTCGCCTCTCCGTAGACAATAGATGCGATTGCGCCAGCCGTATATCTTCCCACACCTGGAACTTCTTGCTGTAGTTCTCGTGCATTATTTGGTAGGATACCATTAAACTTTTCGACAATCTTCTTTGCACCCTCCCATAATCGCTTAGCTCGTGAATAATAACCAAGTCCTGCCCACAGCGTGTTTACTTGTTCGATATCTGCACTAGCCAAATCTCTTATGGTTGGAAACGCCTCCATCCATTTGTTGTAATAATCTATGACTGTAGCCACTTGTGTCTATTTATATTCATTCCTAGTGGTTAAGTACGTGTATCTAACTGTGTAAGTATTATAATATTATTGGTACCTGTTGAAGCATGATCTCACTCACCCAAACTATGCTTAGTTGGATTAATACACATGTATACGCATATATTTATATATATAAATAAATAAATGACATACCCTCATAAGCTCTCTGAGCCAATGTCTATAAATATATATGAATGTTTAGGTATAGGTCAAATACGTAAATATAAAAGCATACTTCTGTATCCCAGTCTTTGTTTGTCGGCTTTCTCCAAGGCATGTTTGTTCTTTTTTCAAGTTGATACCATTTTAATAGGTCACACTGCATATCAAGCCTTTCTTCATCTGAGACTGAGTGATACTCATTTGAGTGGTGAAGTCGCTTGCTTTGTACACATTCTTCAATATCAACTGATGTCATGAGGCGATCTTGATCTAAAAGAAAAAAAAAGATTTTATTTTCATGCGGTGCTTGAATGAACTCAAAAAGGAAGTAGACATTGCAAAAGTCAAAGGAGATCTTCCAGCAGAGAGTGCTTATCTATGAAATAGTGATGGTCCAGAAACTAAAGGAGTAAAGCATTTTAAAGCATATGTAGTCATTATATACCACAGTACTTCTAGCTCCAAAAGGACAAAGAACGTACATCAGGAGGTAGCAAGCTAAAATAAGTTTGACACACACGTATTTTGTCTCCATATTAATGAAATCATTAGCAAGTCAACCAAGACATATATACATATTATATTTATTAGTGCAGTTTATTAACAGCTATAGCCTTTATAGATCCAATGTGCCATCATTAGAAAACAGTCTTTTCTAAAAGAAAAAGATGAAAAAGATACACGAAAGAGAAAAATCTTTGATGAAGCGGAGGATGTTTTTATGGGTTCTCATGAGGACAACTCACAAAGGATGAAAAAACCAAGACCCTTTCAATTTTCACAAGTGTAATTATAAACATGTATATATATGATCAATTCTTTCTTTAAATGTGACATGAGCATATGCGTACATGAAATAAATGAATACTCCAAGTACTTTTTATCTTTAGAAAAAAAGAAGACTTATTATTTACAAGATTTATTTAAAAAAAAAAGACTATTTACATATAGCCATCCGTGTCGTCGATTAATGTGAAGTCTAGCTTCATCGACGACACGAACTCACTAAGGATACATTTGGTGCAAATTGCACCACGTAGGAGGCTGGCGCTTAAATGAAATGGAAACATAGGTGCTACTTGTACGCCAGCCTCTCCACCAATAGTGACACCAGATAGCAAGTTGTCATCGACGCACACCTGCTTGAAAGTCGATGGCAACTTGCTGGCCATTACTCGGTAGTTGAAGTATTTTTCCGAGGAGGTGTTCATGGCCATAGCTTGCTCGTACTCCTCCAGCAAGTCGTCGCTTACTGAAGGAGCTTGCAAGTATTTGACCAGAACACCTAGACTTCACCCTGCATCTTGTTAAAGACGCGGAAACGCACCATAGGCATCAGATGGAGGCAGATACCATACAAAAGATACTGCTCCTGGGCTTTAAGCTTGGCCAGGAGCATATCACCAAGAGGAAGCAAGGACTTCCAGGCCGCAACAAGTTCAGACGGTGCCACATCTGTATTTTGTTTCTTCTTGTAGTAGTAACTAACGATATAGTTACAAAAAGCATGAAGATGGCTCAAGACAAAAATCAGGTCGTCTTGTTCACTACCGCCTCGTTGCTTGTATGTGTGCGCCAAGTTGTAATACCTAAGTTAGAGAATGTCAGTATGAATAAAAATGACAGGTTTAAGAATACTTACATTATCGTAAATATTTTAAACTACTACATCGTATTTGCGTTAGGAGCAGTGACAGACAGCACCCTCTTGGTTGATGCTGCTGTAGGATTAGTAGGGATGCCTTTGGACATAGAACTGGTGAGAGATTCATTATCGTGTGCTTCATTGGGTTTGAAGTATGAGGGTTTGTTATCATGCTTTGAGCATGCTTGCTGGAATATATGAGGTGGGGATGGGTTGATTATTTCACTTTCTTCAGGTGCCACATCATCTACCTCGTGCATAGATGCCTTGGAATTAGTGGCAGTTGATCTGTTGGAAACAGCGGAGGTAATAGCAGAGGCTTCAGAAGCTGGATTGCTTGCGGGAAGCTTGTTCATAGTAGAGCTTGAAAGTCTGTGAAGGGGCACTTCTTTACCCTTGCCCTTACTTGTAGAAGGAATTGATGGGAATTGTGCAGCTAGTTTGGGTATGGATGGTACATCATGGGAAGAGAAACGTGGGCGACGAGGGAAAAAACCAAGGACTTCTTTGCCTTTCAAGAAGGACAGCACCATTCTTTGTTTGACAGCCACCTTAGTAACTTTCACGGGGTCTAAATTGAAATGAAAAGAAATGTTTGTCAACGTGGTATTCAGCGATTGATTTGATCTTACGTCGCATAGCAAGTTCTTTGAATTTACCCAAAGGATGGGATTCCTGAACAAAAAGCACAGAGAAAGCATTACCCTGGGCGCCGTCTGCATCGGTAGAAGTGGTAGCAGTGGTATCAGAGGCATCAAAGGCATCAATAACAGTCGCCTGTGGAGCAGCAGTGTAAGGACCAACTTCAGACGAAGTGCTAAAAAGAGAAGGCGTTAGTTGATAAGAGCAGGCATATTAAAAGTAACAGACTTACGCAACTGCTTTAGGCTTCTTGGCAAGTTGAAAGGTTGTCATAAGTTGGGATACTTGATGAACAGCTTTGAGTTTCTATCAATCAAGAACAAGATTAGTACAAAAGAAAGCAGACAGCATATGGGTATGTATTTACTTTGTTGGCATTCATTGCAGAAGGGGCAACAGCGTCAAATTTTCGCTTTGTAAAAACACCAGATGTGGCCAATGGGTGAATGCTGTTGTTGAAAGAGATAGGTTGGTAATGAGCAGCAGCAGTACTTGAAGATGGCTTGATGGCCTTTGAGCGACCAGGGAGTTTCAGATCTCCAAAAGACGAGAAGAAAGCAGGACGAACTGGTCTAGTAGGGAGGCTCAATGTACTGAATGTGTTTGCAGTAGGCCTGTGTGGCTCAAGAACAGGCGTTGGGCAGCCAGATTGTTCTTGTTGCTGGTGGCGGTTGATAACCTGTGGTTGGTATCTTCGCTTTGCTTCTGATACGATCTCTCTAGCCTGGCGTGGGTGGGAGGAGGTGTTTGCGATTGGTTGACGTTCACTCACTGGTACGACATAAGCTGACTCAGCTGCGATATGGAGGCGACGCTTAAACACAGTGCAATCAAGTGGAGGGCCAATGTACTTATTATAAACCGGCCAGCTTTCCTTCTTCAAATACTTGATGGCGGGGACAGGGATTTGACGGACAAGCTCCGTGGGGCGACTGAGAGAGGCATGCGTAAGCCTGTGGTGGTACGCATATGGTACTTTGCAATGAAAACCACGCATCAATCTCTTCACTGTTCGTTTGATCTCGTCCACAGTAAGGTTGGGAGTGTCTTCTTCAGCGTTGCTGCTTGACAGCTTGGAAGTCAACCATGGAGGGTGGAAACTGTTGGTAAGAGGATGATCCTTTTCAGGGCGCGTAGGCTCTTGGCGGGGGACAGCACGTCTCTCGCGGAGAGATTCACGGAAACCAGAGGCACTAACCTGAGGACGACAAGGCCACAGACGAAGCAGGTTATCAATGTAGCTACGGCTACTGCTTGCTTGATACTGGCGAGGTTCAGTCTTTGTCCAAGCTGTGCGTCTGACAGAAAGGAGTGGATGGTTCAAGCTAGGATCGTGAATAGATCTGTTGTAGTTGTTGTTTGACATTTGCAGAATAAAATCAAAGATGTAAGTGATAAGAAGCGAAAAGTAAATGTTGGAGCAGAGAATAAAAGCTAAACAGCGAATAAAAAAGAGGAAAGGTTAAAGAAACAAGAAGAAAAGAAAAAAAGAAATAAAAGGATTGATAATAAGGTATACTCACGTTGTATTTGATTGACTGAATTAAATTAGGAGAACTAACTATAGAACACAACAAAACATGATGTACATTGTTTACATGAGAAAAAAAAATAGAGAAAAAAATAGAGATAAGCCTAAATAGTCTATTTACTAAAGTAACACCTGTCTTCTTGACAATCATTTTTAACATAACAACGAAATCAACAACTATCTCCTTTCTTTTTGATATAACAGAAGAATGATATATTATATATCCTTTTTATTGTTCCTTTTTAGTGCATCAACCAAGACAAGTCTTTTCACTTGTTGTTTATTTACTCTTGAGTTATTCTGAAAAAGGAAAAAAACGCTAATTGATATATATAAAAAAAACATGTTATCTGTTTCAGAGTAGGAGCGTTGTCTTACTGGCTTCTAGATCGTGTGGATGCTAAGCATATGTATCCTTATGCAAGGTTCCACGAAAAGTACAGAAGCCGTGCCTGACTTGCAGGAACTAAGCTGAGATATTTTTTATTTTGATTTCTTTGCTATAGGCTTGAAACTTTTTGTCCGTTATGAATAGCGTAAACAAATAAAAATATCATTGATAAGAGTCTTAGACTCTCTTAAAGTATTAAACAAGGCAAAACCAAAATGAGTTGGAAAAAAGGAACAAGAGGAATACGCTTGATCTAAGCTAGCTCACTTTGATCTACTTTCATTTTTAAGGTCCACCTTAAAGGAGTGTCAAACGTCTCTACTATCGTCACATGTTATCATTTGTTCTTTCTCACACTTCACTCTAAATGATCTAAAAATAGCTGTTATTTCTCCTTTTACAAATGCAGTTAATCGATAAGCCTACAGGATGATGTTTGAGTGCTTATCTATGGATAGACTTGGCTGAGTTCTCATGGACAGATCAGTCCATCCATGCATGTTGATAGCACCTAAAGATATCAAAAGGTAGATCATCAACTGAAGCATCAGTGATAATGTCACTCTGTAAACGTGTTCCCTTGTCATAGCCATAGCAGCTCAAATCTATGGATCTTACTTTAGCATTCAGCCAAGAAAAAGGCTTGAGCGGCATAAGAAAAAATGATCAAGTCCTGTCTATGCTGTAGCTGATTCATAGACATTTATGAAAAACAATTTTATTATATATTATAAAAGATACAGTAAAGCTAAGCTATTATTTGTTATTAAACAGCAGAATGTATTTCACTGTAAGTTGCATTCGTTGGTTACTATGGTTACGCCACTGTTGCTTTTGTATAGGCTATACACATTTTTTGGTTAATTTATACATATGAATAAAGCATACAGTTGACATAAAGTAAAAGTAGTACCAGGTCGTAGATGTACTATTTACCCCTATTCGACTGAGTCTTTTTCTATTTACAATGCAGCAAGATGTCTGTGCAGTGCCCTCGAAGAAGTGTTTGCCGTTTTTTTTTTTTTGAAGATACTGGATGGAAAAGACGATACTTTTCTCTTTCTTTCGTATATTTTCTCTTATAAACACATAAAATGACTTATTTAACTTTGTCTCAAAAAGAAAAAATTGCTATTAGACGTTGCGGTGGTATTTCGGCAACATAAATTGCCATTAAGGAAAACATTCCAGAAAGAACCATACGTCATGTGTTTCAACAATGGAAAAGAATGGAGCTGTAGAGACGAAGCCTAGGCCTGGAAGGCCTCCTATCTTCAGCGATAGAAAAAGAAGAGAACTAGAAAGAGTAGTACGAGCAAACCGCCATGCTACACTTAAAGAAATTAGACAGCCGACAAGCACCAGGGATTGTTAGGACATCATACGCAAAGGATTCAAAAAACTTGGCTATTCTTCTTGTGTGGCTGCCAAGAAGCCATCCTTGAACGAAAATCAACAGAAAGCAAGGTATATCTTTGCCAAAAATCATGCCCACTGGACAGTAGGTGACTGACGAAAGATAATCTGGACGGACGAATCAAGCTTCGAAATCGGTAAGCTGTCGTCACAGCCTAGAGTTTGGCGTACTGCTTCAGAAAAAAACAGCAAATAATGCCTGTTGCCAATTTTCAAAAGTGGCAGAACTTCAATCATTGTTTGGGGCGCCAGAGTTGGTGGAAAGAAGTCGAAACTTGTGTTTATGAAGAAAGGAATAAGGACAGATGCCAACTTCATAAGCCAGGCCTATGAGCTAGTACTACTAGACTTCTACAAAAGTCTAGATAGTCCTGTAGTCATGGAATATTGTGCACTCACCCACAGAGTGAAAACTGCTGCCGAATGGAGGGAGGTAAAGGGCATAAACAAGGTGTTCTGTCCAGCACAATCGCCGGATTTAAATCCGATTGAAAATCTTTGGAGCATGATGAAGAGTGTTAACACTTTATGCCCTCATGCTAAAAACCAGCAAGCCATGGAATTAGTTTTGAAGATTATTTGGAGGGAGTTTACTCCAGAAGGCATCAACAAATTAATTGACTTTATGTCGAAGAGGATCAAAGATGTTATAAAAGCTCGTGGTGGACCCAGTAAATAGTAGTTCAATAAAAACCCAAAACTTGCTTCTCGGCTCTCTCTTTTTTTTTTCCGATATTATAATGTAGATGACTTTTATTCGTCACTTCTCTTATCTTATAACTGAAGCAAAGCTACAAAAGGGTCACTTTCTTTACTGTTTGGCCGTTAATAGCATTAAAAAAAAAAACTGACTTTTAAAAAATGGCAAACACTTTTTCGAGTGCACTGTACATGATCTCTTCTGTCCTTGTCTTTCTTGCTTTTTTCTACATTAAGCGCACTAGAGGAAACAATCTATTAAAAAATCAAAAGATAAATGATAAATCAAGAAAATAAAGGAACTAACAATCAAATCAAGAAAAAGAAAAGCACGACCATTATGGTTAGTTGTTTCCTATTAGGTAAGTGCTACATGAGCATCAATATAAGCCATAGTATTAGGAGGCGTTATGGTAAGATCATCCATCTGTTCTTCAGACTCAAGTTTTCCAGTAAACCTACTTCATACATAAAGCCAAAACGAACAGTCAATGAGTCTTTTGATTTAACGATATGTTCCTTAATAGAAATGCCCTATTCAGTTAACGATCACATGTATCTCACTTTATTCAGCAAAGCATATGCAATAAATAAACTGCTTAAAGCAAAGATATAAAATAACAATATAATCAGACCTCGATTCTTGTGATATTATGGACAAATAGTTGTTTTAGCTTAGGAAATTAGAAATATAACAAGACAGAATGAATATCTTTGTAATCCTTTTATTAACAGAGCAAGGAAGAAACTCATGGCAAAAAAAAAAAGGAATTGGCCCTTAAATCGAAGAATAAATGTTGTCAACCAATTACACTATTTCCAGAAAGTGATGTCGTTCCAGGATGTCGTACTTTGTATATTTTGTGCTATAGATTTTCGAATTATGCGACATTACTTGTAGGAAAAACTGTACATCCAGTGAATTATATTAATATTATTGTTGCCAATTGCTATAGATTATAGATGCTATAAATCAATGTTGTGGCTTAACATGAGATATTATGTTAATATCGAATGAAAAGGATGACTTTGGCTTATATACGAAATATGCATTGATTATATTATGTCAAAGGGTGTAACCTTCTTCGATATAAGCGTAGAAATACGACAATTCTATCATAATCCTTGGTGGGTAGTTGTAGCATTCCAGAATCGAGATTATTTCAGGATAAAATGCATATTTCGACAAAGTACGCTTAAATAAACAGCCACGTCTCAGTTTTTCTCATAGAGTGTTACTCCAGAATTGCGATTATTCCAGGATAGATTATGGCAGAATCGAAGTCCTGCTGTAGAACATACGATATAAACATATGATAATGAGTATTCTGTAATATAAAAGAATGTCTAACGTTTATATATAGGCTTTTGAATCTTGTTGTATTTTTTTTTTCTGTTACAAAAGGATTCGATGTTACTTGCTTTCAATGAAAGAAAGGAGGAATAAAGCTAAAGACGTACAAGAATAGAAGCAAACGCGTTAGAGTTTCCTAAAGCATACAGATGAAATACATATTATATTCGTATCCAAGAGATGCAGTTTAATCACAGTTGCAACAATCTCAGCACACACACATTTATATACAAGGTAAGAAAATGTGAAAGATAAGGATGATTTACTGGCAAATTACCTTTTTGTCACGGATAGAGCCTACTTAAAAAAAGAATGGACTCACAGCAACATATTTCTGAAAGAAAAAGCTACAAATCTCGATGTGTGTAATCTCAATGTAGCTGCTATTGGTTATATCAAGGTATTAAATACTCTACATCAACTGTCTCTTTTTATATGTATTAATATACTTGATGTTGTCAAATTGATTTGATTGATTATTGAACAAAGCTTGTACTCAGCTAGCCAATCATATTTCCCAAGGGGCTTTAAACATTCTCTTTATTTGGAAAAGACTGTAACTTTCCCCTCTCTCTTTCTCTCTGTGTAAGGATACAGTGTTCAACAAGCTCTGTGTGATTCTTTCTCCCTATTAAAATACAGCTTAAATTTCCAATTTATTTATTTTTCTTTTCTTTCAATTAATAATCTATGGATGTGCATAAACGACATTCACTATTTAATAGAACGCAGGAACAGGCATCATTTACTGTATTTCAACCAGGTTTCTTTAATTCAGAGTTAGAACCTGAATCATTAGAAGATTTTGATTTTGAAAAAGCACCCAATCATAATCCAACAGTCAACACAATCACAGAAGAAGACGACCCTATTCCACACTCTTCCGGTGTTACTTATCATTCTGTTGTCACTAGTTGTGGAAGTGCGGCACCCATGATAAATCAACAACAGCCACCGCTACCAGAATCTGTAGAAGAGTATGATATGCAACCTATTTATCAAAAGGTTCTAAAGGAGAGAGCAGTCAAAAATTATCAAATATTTCCCGGAAATACTCGATTTCTCTGTGGAGGACGACTGGTGACCAGTAAAGATTATCGAGCATTTATAATAGCATTGATATTATTGATTACGCCTGCTGCCTTATTTTGCGTATTTACGTAAGGACATTACACATATAGCAAGCTACGATGTTTATGTTGTATTATAGATGCCCATTCTTATGGAACCAGGTCCATCCAGTGATACCCATCGTATTTGCTTATTTATTTATACTTGCATTTGCTTCCATGCTCAAGACATCTTGGACAGATCCAGGGGTAATATAAAAAAGAAAGACATGTGTAAAGTATGCTAATATATATAATATAGATTATACCAAGAAATCTCGATATACCCCAACAAGAGATTATAGATGAAAATGCCTCGAGTACTCATGCATCTATCATGTCTGATATTGCTCAAAAACAGATTAGGATCAAAAACACATCATGGTCATTACGTTACTGCGAGACTTGTAAAATATACCGACCTCCTAGAGCAAGTCATTGTCGACAGTGCGATAACTGTGTTGGTAATATAAATGGCACTACGTATCCATATGACTAAAGGCGTGTGTATATAGAGTATGAAGATCATCACTGTATCTGGCTGAATAATTGTGTTGGCAAGCGAAACTATAGACCATTTTTCACATTCATCGTCACTTGTGTCATATTATGCATTTATGTCATCGCATTTGACGTTTATTATCTACTTTCGATTGCATCCAACAGCCCTGGCCGAGGATTTGGATTTGTCTTTTCACAAGCACCTGTCAGTTTTGTGTTATCCATCTATTGTTTCTTTCTTCTTTGGATGGTGGGCGGATTGACAATATACCATTGTTCACTTATCATGCGAGGCGTAACTACGCATGAACAGGTAATCAAATATATATTTAGCCGTACAAAACCTAACATACCTCCATAGTTACGCAGAGACATTTTCAAATTGACTTATCCTGATTTGGGTGCTAATCCATACAACAAAAGGAACCCTTTAAAAAATATGATCCAAGTTTTGTGCCAACCACAGCCCAAAAGGTAAAGAAAAACAAGTCTAAAGGAGAAAAATACTGATTTGCTATTATTATTAGCTATCTGCGTAGACGCAAAATGGCAGATCCTGTTATCGAAAAGCTTTAATAATTTTAATACTTGTTTGTATCGCGTAATCAAATGTAAACTATTTCTTTCTTAAATATCATTGCCAAAAAGACATTGTTAGTGACTTAAAAGTTAATCGATCTCGGGGGGAAACAACGCCGGGGCATTTAGAGTCAGACAATTTCAAGCTGTTTCTCTTCTCTTTTTCTCTTTTATTTTATTTTTTAAAATGATAAAGTTTCGATTAGATCCTTTTCCACAGTTTACAGAACTTGTATACAGATCTCTACTAAACGCACGATTTCTTATATTCTCCACAGTGGTAGCCAAGATTACCTTGGACAAGCTCTATAAATATGCAGTGGTATGTCTAGAGTATGCCATGATCCTTGATTATGTAATAACATCTGTCACAGATAATCAATCCTTTAGGTTATGATGAAAATGGAGAAGCTATGTTAGATATTCTCGAATACCAATCACCCTCTTCTCCTAATGACGTATTTTATGCACTCAACAGCTATGGACCTAAAGGCAGGCAAGCTTATTTGACATATTTATTCTACGACGTCATCTTTGTCCTGTCACGCACGATCCCAATTACTGTACTTTGCAGCTATGCATATAAAAAGGCCCCCGAAGCAATTCGTCCGGGTGTTTGGATACCTATGCTTAATGCTGCCGTTGACTTGGTTGAATCCTTTTTGATTTTTGTTCTTTTAAACATTTTTCCGACACGTGTCGAATCCCTAGAATGGCTTACCGTATACGTGATTCAGCTCAAGTGGCTTACATTCAAGACAACGATGGCCATTCTATTTATCGCATTATTTGTGGCCATCTATTATGGTTTTCATGGTCTCTTGGCCGATAGTGTTCTCATGGATAAAGACAGAGCTGCTGCTAGAGATAACATTCAAAATGTATTGCAAAAATCTGCGGCTCGACGTGCAGCTGCTGCTACTGGAGACAAGAAAGACTCATAGTGTACATAGATGAAAGAAAAAAAAAAAGAGAGGGGAGGTAAAATCTAAAAATAAATACAATATAAATTTTGCGTGACAATTTCTGTATCTTATAATTTTTTTGTCGTTGTTCAGTGCCCCTTTTTCTTTTTCTTCTTTTTTCCCTTGAAGCAAAGTGATGAGATTGAATGTCAGCCATATTACAAAGAATCCAATAGTCATGGTTTCAGCCATTTTAGCCATTGTAATATAGAACAATAACGATTGTTTTTGCGCTGATAATAATTTTATTAGCTTGGTTGGCTTTTGATGTTTATTGGAGCTTGTATGATTGGAGGAGCTGGTGTATTTTGGTGGATTGTTGTCTATGAGTTACTATTATTAAGTGGTATACTATTCAGCATTTATAAACAAGTATTTCACCATTATCAGCTTGCAGTAAGACTATTTTAATTTAAAATATTTAATTATTGATCTGTTTGAGAGTATTTAGTTTTTGGTGTTTTTGAGCGTTAGTATCGCATTATTAACGCAATCCGTCGGTAGCATGCTCAATCGCTATTATTCTGGATTTCAAGTAGCAGGAGTAGGATCTATCTTTTTGATTGTGATGCAAGTAAGGAGCACCGAAGAGAAATCTATATATGTGAATTAATACAGGGCAAAAGTTTTTTTGGATCATTTTATTTGGAAGTACAACAGATTCGGCTGTGTTTCAATACATCTATGCGACCCATATTCCAAGGACTTTTGATACAGCCAAAGAAAGTAAATTGGCACTTGCCGCTGTTCAAGAGGAAGAATATATCAGTACACCTCATCCTCATCCCACTCCGATTATGACAGGACAAGCTCCAGTAAACATATTTGCGACTGCACTTCATCCTTGTAAACTCTTTTTATATATTTTTCTCAACGAGAAACTAAACTACATTTATTAGATCAAGCAAATCCTGAAGATCCTAATGAACTTTCATTTGTTAAAGGAGAAACATTAGAAATCCTAAATCGAACAGGAAATTGGTGGCAAGCTAGAAAAAGTGATGGTAGCATTGGCATTGTACCAAGTAATTATGTAAGTTTTTTTTCTAACAACAAAACAAAGAATCATCACTAATGTACTTTATATCAGTTTGCGCCTTAGAAAAAAGCAACACGAAAAAAGACAACAATAAACGCGAATGCTCTCTTTTTTTTTCTTTTTGTTAATTAAGGTCCATATCAAGAAGCTTATTTTGTCCATGGTGTTATTTTTGATGATGTGGCTTTACCATAAACAGCGTGATCCGAGCAAAGCCATTCTGACCTGTTTTAACTCGATGCTGTTCCCCTCCTTTGACATTCATGCAGTTGCCAGTATTGAAAAAAAAAAAAGATTCTTTTAGAGTTACCCTGTTTGATTCGTAGCTATTCCATATGCAACTTGTGGAGTAAACTTGCAGATGCCATATTAAATAGATTGATCATCTTTTAATCCCTTTTAGTCAGCCAAGCACATGACATACCTTTGATATACAAACAAAATGACACTTTCATGTATAATTAATTGTGAACTGGAATGAAATCGCGCCTAGTTTCGATTGAGTCTCTTTCATTGACCGACTGGTTTATAGTACTTGTCTAAGCAAATGCTGTTCGTTACAGTGTTTCGCGTTTAAGATACAAAGTTGTTGTTCATACTTGCACCAGTCCCACTTGGCTCCAGTTGTGGTATTAGCTCTTCGATTCGTGCTTTATTTATTCGAAATAAACATCATTACTACTTCTTTATCTTTTTTGAGCCATGCAAGATAAACTCTTCTTCTGGCAATTTACCGATGCGGCAGACGTCCGAAAGACTAAACAAGGACATGATTGTTTCTTTTAAATCAATACAAAAGAAAGAGAGAGACTGATTCTTCCTTGGCTTCTAAATCACATAAGGCCATTCAATCTACAAGAATAAAAGAAGATAAATCATGCTGGTTATTACATTATCGTTATTTATTTCGCTAGAGCGTAAACTTAATACATAAATAATAAGGGAAGCATTTTTTAAGCAAAAGGAGGGAATACTCTAAACAACAAACGATCAATAAAATGAAATGTTCCCTCTCATCTTCAGCCATATTAGGTATGCTTACTTTGCTGGTATAGGACCACCATGGCTTGTGCCTGAAGTAGCACTGACGGGAGAACTGGGCGAATTAGATGCAGGAACAGATGGTGAAGCAGGCGACTGTGGACTGACAGACTCCTTGATAGCCATCAGTTGGTTAGAACGGAAGGTTTCATAGTGGAATAAGGAAGTAGTTTCAATTAAGTCTTGAAGATGAGTTCTGGTCAAAAAGTTTCGTAAATGAATAAATTCACAATGATTTTCGTCCTCGACAATGATCGTTCCCCATCTCGTCTTACGGCCAAGAACAGCTTTTCCGTTGACAACTACCTGTCTTTCAGAGCCTACAACAGCAAAAGGAAGCAGTTCCTATAAAATATTAACAACAATATACTTTTTCTCTTCTTTATCTCTTACTCGAACACTCGCATTCAACATTTGTTCTTCTTCATCATAATAATCTCTATCGTCATAAGGATAAAGCTGAATATTGTGAAAAGCCAATTCTGCATTGATCTATAAAAGAGATGTTTAATAAAATTCACATTCTTCAATTTGAGCCCTTCGTTACCCTTTGCTTAAAGGCAGCTCGTTCCTCGACTGTCATCGAATCCGATTTAGCAATTACAGGAACAACGTTGACAATTTCGACTAGGCGTTTAAGAACGATGATATCAATTGGCTTCAGCCTAGGTAAGTGTATTAAGAATCATGTGCGACAGAACCTTTTTCTGTGAATAAACATACGAATGACCCGAAGGTGAGATAAAATAAAGACAGCAATGAACTCGACTATCTTGAATGAACTTTTCACGTTGTGCTGTCAGTTCCTTACGCAAATAAGCAGAGTGTTGGTCTTTGATATATTTAATGATTGGCTCCCAACTGATATTGATGTGTTAGAGTCATATTATTATTATCTGTATTACTCACCATCCTTCATTATTGACTTGATCACCATAACCTGGTGTGTCTACTATATTTAATCTCAGTTGAACACCATTTTCCTCAATGACTGCATACACAGTAATAAATTAGAGACAGAACTATTTTCTTTTTTCTTCCGATACTTGCCATGGGATACAGCTTCTATTTCTGTTGTCTGTCTAGTCACGTCTTCCACATTATGTCTTCCTTTACTGTCGATAAGGTGGGAAGCAAATAATGTATTGATCAAAGTCGATTTACCGAGTCCTGTTTGACCTTTTTTTTATATACAATAGTCAGCATCTTTCTCTTTATGTGATTTATATATGATAGACCATTCGTCGCTCCCTTTACCTACAACCATGACGTTAAATTGAAAGCCTCGTTTAAGAGACTTCTTCTCTATTTGCTGAGTGATTGTGTCAAAACCGACATAGCCGTTTAAAGGAGTGGTCTATTAACACATATGCAGGTAAGTTAAGGAGGTTGTATTTTAATATGTTTATGTACTTCTTGCAAAGGAGTAGCAGTAGCCATGAGGAAAGTAATTGAAAAGGGGATGAAGAAGTAATTTAAAAAGGGAAAAAAAGAAACAATTAATAAGTGACTTTTTCTGTTGTGATACAGGCTCAAGGCAAGCTTGAATTGTTGGTTTTTCTTTAATAGGGGAAGAATTATTAGATAACTTTTATCTGTATTATTATTCATATCATTATTCGTCCCTCCCCCCTTTTTTTTTTATAATTAAAGAGATACCAAGGTCAAAAAAATATACTTGAAGGGTCATCAGATGGCATCATGTATCTGATATCAACTAGAAGGTTTTTCCGAAAAATGAAGTCGCGCCCTATCCACAGCATTTGTCTGCATTTAACAAGAAGTCATGGATAAAGTACATTTGACAATGCATATTCACACAGCTTTGCTTATCTCATCAGTCTCAGCACTATACCTGTCAGTGTACATTTGGTATTTAAAGGGAGGTCAAGGCGTTTTATTATCTCATGGATAATCAATAATAACACTTCCTTGTCTCGTGTACTATAGACGAGAAAGCAATGTCAACCTATTCTTGATCTTTTCTTCTTTTTCTCTGCTTTCTCCTCGTCTTCTCAAAGTCTTCTTTTGTTCCTAGATGCGTATGGCTAGTTTATGTCAAAGAATATGTCGTCATGATGGTAAAATGATCGCCCTCTCCCTCTCTAGATCAAATAGGCATAATTATATTTCAGTCGGTGAATGATTTATGTAGAATAGCCAATTAAATCCTGCAATGCCATTTTTTTTTATATTGTTATCGTTTTCTTTCTAATGGCTGTAGACACAAACCGTTCATGTCCTCCAATACCCATTTGGATAGAACTGTCTAAAGCACAAGAGCAAGTAGAACGTGGCAGCAGCCGCCCAACATTAACAAGTGGATCAAGTGATACTGACTATACAATAATAACTGCAACTTCCTCCATTAGAACTTCACTTTCCCTTAGAGATAAAAGAGAAATAATTCAACAGTATGAACAAAGACCTGAAAAAACACCTGATATTGCTTCTGAAATGGAGAAATGGTATGCAATGACAGATAGGTTTGTTGAAAGATATTTTATTAATACTCCCCTTTTTTCTTACTTTTATCGTAGATATGGCTTCTTGAACACTCAACAGACTGAGGCAGACTCTATGTAATTTATTAGATAATAGCATTATAGATGAATTAATATATTATAGACTCTTGAAAGAAAAGGAAATAGAAAGGGCAGAGAAATGGGCAGCGATGTCCCATAGAATCCTTATTGATGGTGAAACAGCATACACATTCAGCTACTCTAGCAAATTACGGAGGAGAGTATACAAAGGTATCCCTGACTGCTGGAGAAGGGACGTTTGGTATTATCTTGTGACAGATGGTTTAAGAAGCGCAAAAGAAGATTATGCATATAAGAAGTCCTATCAGGTTACGTATGCGCTAGTGAACGTATAAAAAGAGGTTATGTATTAAAGGAAAACTTTACTTTAGGAATTGCTCTTAAAGGAATCACCACATGAGAGACAGATAGATCTAGATATTCCTAGAACATTAAGAGATCACATCATGTTTAAGCAAAGATACGGATCAGGGTATGATTTTGCAAGTTAGAAAGACAATAGATTATTCATTATTATCATTATCATTATTACTAGACAGCGAGCACTATTTAATGTTCTAAGAGCCTTTTCTAACTATGATGAAGAAGTTGGATACTGCCAAGGGATGACCAACATAGTGGCGACCATTTTGATGTATTGTGATGAAGAGGTAATATAAAAGTTGGTTTGATAACAGAGGAAGCTCATTTAATGATAGCGAGCATTTTTGATGCTGCGTCGTATGTTTCTACGTGATAAGCTGCATGATTTATATATTCCTGGGTTTCCTACTCTTATGGAAAGCTTTTTTATACAAGATAACTTGCTAAAGCGGTATCGGCCGAGACTATATCATCATCTGGTAACTATCTCTTTGATGGCATTTACCTTAAAACTGACGAATACAAGAATGAGCTAGGCTTATCAAGTGACATTTATGCTACCAGATGGTACATAACTCTATTTACAGGTGGTGTTGTTCAATATCATACTCTTCTTCGTATTTGGGATATCTATTTTCTATGTGGCTATGATATCTTCTTCTTTGTGGTAATAGCACTCCTAAAGGAATATGAAGGTAGAGTCATTCTATTAATATAGATAATCCTTTTCTTACTTTTATACACATATTACAGGTCGATTACTTTCTTCAGATCTTGATCAATGCATGGAAACATTAGGCTCAGCCATGTCAGTATCCGATGACGATGTATTTATAAAAAATGTTCAAAGACTATACGAAAGAAGAAGTCAAGTTGTAAAGACACTTAGAAAAGCATATCAGGAAGCACATTAGCTTTTTATTACTAACTCACTCATTGTAAATAAAGAAAAAAGCCTTATTCATATATCACAACACTTGGGTGGTCATATTCAGCCATTGCTTTCAAGAACCACCGTACTCTTTCCTTACTATCATCATCTTGGGTATCACTTGATTGCCGCTCTTCAAATTGATCAGAGCAGGAGTCATCATTATTTATGTCTTCAACACTTTCTCTTGAGCTAGCTTCTGACTGTATGCTTGATATACTTGCAATGTCCGTCATGTCATCTGTATACATTCCATTTTCAATTGCATACGTTATTTCTCTTTCATCTTCTTCTTCTTCTTCGCTGCTAGACACCAGTTCGATAATCTCTTTTGAAGGCATTTTATCTTTAAGCAATTGTGGAATCTCGTCCTCCTTTGATTTTCGACAAACTGTCATTATGTGTTTAATTAAACGACGATCTTTGTCGTCATCAACCTCTGTAGGTCGTCTTGTTGCAGGATTCTTGAATGACAATTCCATAATTCACATAAACAAATGAAAATACGTCTTTCTCCCTCTCTCTTGCAAGTCATGTCACACCATCATTTATTGATAAATGTCAAATCTGAAATAAACAAGTGATAGATGATGTAACATGCATGTCTGAAAATCATCCTGTATGATAACTAAAAATATGCGAATCGTGAAATCACTTGAGTTCCCTTGTGTGTAATCCCATATCAACTTAATCACTTGTTCAGCAATTTTATATACAATACATTTTAAGTTAAAGTCATATTTATTAATGGAGAATTGACGATGGAGGTTGATGATAAAGTCAAATTGGATTTTGTTTCTTTTGGGATTTGTCTGTTGTCTTTTTCTGCAGTTTTCTCTTGGCTATGGGAAATCCCAATTCCGCGTATTTTAAACCAACAATCTTTGATTAATGCCCTTCTGCTACTTTTGAGCTGTGGGCTTTTCTTTCTCGTGTATACAATGTAATGAAATGCATTCTGTGCTTATGTAGTATTTAAGGAGCTCATTGACATAGTACGATATAGATATTGATGTGCCCTTGTCGCCAATATCCTTGAAGCATTCCTTGATGACCTTCAATGCATCGGCCGGCTCTTCCAAACGGTGGTAGTGGACCACATACGCCTTGATCATGGTTATAATATCAGCCCACTCTCTCACTGGCATAGAACTTATGAAACTTTCAACTTTAAAAGCATTGGCAAGCTTCACGGGAAGTACGTAATCCGGGTAAACACCATTAGGAATAGATCGACCCATATTTAGCGTTGTGTTGTCAATAGGCAATTGGTAGGTGAATACTACGCGCAGACACTACATGTGATATCATGAACAAAACTCCTCAATATGTGACGCCACGCTAAACTTACCCCGGAACCAAAGCATTTCCATGTTATTTGATGTCGAATACAAATTTATGAAGTTTTCAAACATTCAGTAAACTGAGAGTGGAAAAATCAATATCCGCAAAGCAGAAAATTCGGCCCACAAAACAAAACTTACGAGCCACAAAAAGAAAACGACGGCCCGCAAAATAAAAACAGCCTTCCGTGCAAATTTTACAGTCAAAACCAATAACTTGCCTTTCTTTTATTTTTTTTTTATTTTTTTTATTTTTAAAGAAAAGTATAACCAGCAAATGCGTTGTAGCAATTGTGGCTCAAATAGAACAGAATCGGATGCTGCCTCAGGAACCAGTTACTGTATTGACTGTGGTACAGTAAGTATCTAAAATCGTTTAATGCATAAAAAAAAAGCTAACTGGGTTGCAAAAGGTACTGGAAGAAAATACTATTGTTGCAGAAGTCACCTTTGGAGAAACTTCTGGTGGTAGAGCAATTCTCCAAGGTTCGTTTGCAGGAGACTCAGGTAATAATTAATTGAAATATGTTGCGCAATTATGTGTTGACTTTTTGGAATAGGTCGTATTGCCGGTGGAGGCTTATTTGGTAGAAACAGAGGAAGAGAAGGACAAGAACAAGCCCTTGAGAATGGTACAATCCTTATATCCTTTCTCTCCTTTTTTGTAACTAATTCTCCCTATACATATAGGCCGACAAAAAATTGCCAGTCTTGCACACGGTCTACGACTACCAGAACGTTACAGAGAAGCAGCCCAGCGATACTATAATTTAGCCGTTGTCAATCGTTTTACTAGAGGTCGCCGCAGTGAGCACGTTGCTGCCGTTTGCTTATATGCTGTATGTAGAAGTGAAAAGAGTGCACACATGTTGATCGATTTCTCAGACATTCTTCAAGTAAGATCATTAATATTATGAGCGTTTATTTTTTTTAACTTCATGTCAGGTCAATGTCTTTACATTAGGTGCTACATTTCTAAAACTCTGTCGAGTGTTGAATCTCAATCTACCACATGTCGATCCTTCATTTTATGTTTCACGATTTGCAGTTGCTCTTGATTTTGGAGACTATACACAAAAAGTTGCACAAGACGCTGTTCGTATTGCACAGCGTATGGACAGAGATTGGATCGTCACTGGCCGTCGTCCAGCTGGTATCTGTGGCGCCTGTTTGCTGATTGCCGCTCGAATGAACGGGTTCCGTCGAACGCTTCGTGAGATGATTTATGTTGTCAAAGTAGCAGAAGTGACGATTCAAAAGAGATTGAATGAATTCAACCAGACTGAATCATCTAAACTGTCTATTCGCGACTTTAGAACAATATGGTTGGAAAAACGAGCAGATCCACCTTCATTCCAAAAGAATAGAATGAAAGAGGCTGCCTTACAATCAATATCAAAAACAGAAGATGGAGAAGAGAACAAATTAGAAAAGGATACCGAAACAGATGGAGATAAAATAGCAAAAGTAGCTAGCATAGACAAGAATTTAGTTAAAGATACAGAGAGTCAATTGAACACAGCAGAAGAGGATTTAAGTACAGAAATTGATATAAAGGATGACCTACCATCGATACCAGACCTTATTAAAGATAGTCAAGACATGGACGAAAGTCAAACACAAATTGCTACTCAGATATCAGTATTAGATGAAGAAGCACATATTTCAACACTTGTAGACCAGCTTGGAGATAAGGATGCATCTTATGTGAACATCAAAAATAGCCCTGCATTTAATGATTTACCACCTGAAGAAAAGATGAAAATCATCAGGGCAGCAAGAGAAAAGGTAGCGGGTGAGATGGAAGTCATGTTGAACCCTAATCTAGCTGAGGATGCAAAAGAGATTAGTAAAGACCTTGAAGAGTGGATGCAGGATGAATCTGTTAATAAAGCTGCGAAAGAACTTGGTAAGTCGTCTCTTTCTTATTTTTAAACAAATTCTAATGGGACTCATCTTGTAGAAAAAGCAAATAACAATAAAGGAGAAGAAAAGGACGAAGAAGAAGAGGAGGAGGAGGAAGAGGATGAAGAAAACTTGTCGGACGTTGACTGTGATGAAATTGAAGCAATGATCTTGACAGAAGATGAAGTAGCACTGAAAACAAAAATTTGGTATAACGCAAATAAAGAATATCTGGAAGAAATGGCAGTACGCCGAATGGTTGAAAAAGATAAGGGAGGCAAAGACCATAGGAAGAAAGGAGGTATTCGTAAAAAGAAGCCAATGTCCTCAGCATCCACGCCTGCAGAAGCAGCCAAGCAACTCGTGGCAGCAAAGAAAGTCTCAAAAAAAATAAACCAAGCCGTATTTGACGATATGTTTGAATCACCTGAATCTATTGAGAAGATCAAGCAAGACTCATTGAAACGAAAGGCAGACGATGTGGATCTTGACGGCTATGAGGTTGTGGAAGAGTCTGGTGAGTTACCGCAGGCAAAGGTGAGAAAGACAGATAAAGATGAAGAACAGGACGAAGATGAGGAAGAAGACGAAGAAGAGGAAATCGCTGCTCCTTATGGAGGATACGAGCAGGATCACTATGACTATGACGATAATTATTACGATTACGGTGACGATGATTTTTAATGTAAATAGAGAAATAATAAATGTATTTGTGTATATCTGTAAATTTCAGAACTTGTATGAAGGCGCAGCATTAGCCTACACCACACATTTTATTTATTTGATAACAAAAAAAGTTTCCCTTTTTTAAATTAAAAATGATAAACAAACATTAAAAAGGATGAAATTGAAAAGAAGGGGAATGAAGAATTATTTACAATGTGTTAACATTGCCCAAGTCCTTACAAGCTTGTTGAACTCTCTTAGTCATAGACTTTTCAGCTTCACGAATGAAAACACGAGGGTCGTAGTACTTCTTGTTTGGCTTGTTGGGACCTTCGGGGTTACCAACTTGAGCTTGAAGGTAATCCTTTTTGTTTTCATAGAATTCCTTAATACCCTTCCAGTAAGCCCATTGGGTATCGGTATCAACGTTCATCTTGACAACACCGTTGCGAACAGCTTCGGCAATTTCATCTTCAGTAGATCCGGAACCACCGTGGAAGACGAAGAAGACAGGCTTGGGGTCATCGTTCTGGAGCTTATCCTTAACGTAAGCCTGGTGCTTACCCAAGAGTTCGGGGTGCAACTTGACGTTACCAGGAGCATAGACACCGTGAACGTTACCGAAACCAGCAGCAATGGAGAAGAGATTACTTACTTCCTTGAAAGCCTTGTAGATATCCCAGATGTCTTCAGGTTGTGTGTAGAGAGCAGCGTTGTCAACACCAGAGTTATCGACACCATCTTCTTCACCACCAGTGATACCAATTTCCATTTCGAGCCAGCAGTCAATAGCAGCCATTCTCTTGAGGTACTTTAAGCAGATCTCAATGTTTTCCTCCTTGGATTCCTCAGAGAGATCAAGCATGTGAGAAGAGAAGAGAGGTTCACCGTGAGCCTTGTAGTATTGCTCATCAGCTTCGAGCATACCTGTTGTTTAAATGTTAGCTTAGTATAAAGTAAGTGGGGTGAGAAAATAAAATTACCATCAAACCAAGGCAAGAGCTTCTTTGCACAATGGTCAGAGTGAACGACGACGGGGATACCGTAGGCCTTGGCGACGGCACGGACGTACTAATGACGTGTTTTTTTTCGTGTTAGCTTTGTGATGTATCTATTTTTTCTATTATGAGGGTACCTGAGCACCAGCGACGGCACCAATGATGGAAGCCTCTTGGTTCTTGTTATCTAAACCCTTACCAGCAAAGTAAGCAGAACCACCTTGGGAGAATTGAATGATGATAGGGGAGTTAATATCACGGGCAGCTTCAAGAGCAGCATTAACGGTACTTTAAAACAGTTAATAACACGGAACAGAAAAAAAAAACCTGGGGTACCCCACATGATTATATTTTTTCTCTTTACCTGGTAGAGGTACAGTTGATAGCAGGAATAGCAAAGTTATTGGCACGAGCGTATTCAAAGAGCTTTAAGAGATTCTTGCCAGTAACGACACCAGGAGGAACAATATCAAGGAGACCCATTTTAACTCGAGTTTATGAAAATTGAAAAGAAAAAGAAGAGAAAAGAAGTATGTAAACCTCTTTATTTAAAGTTTTTTTTTTAGAAAAAGTTTACATCATTTCAATATTAACTTTCCGATGGATGTTGCCTGGGAAATAATTGAGGGAAAAGGGTAAAGAGGAAGAGCTTTTTTGTGTGATCCGGATATTTCCGTTTAGTTGCTTATGAAAAATAAAAAAAAGTCCCGGAGTCTGTTTGGAGGACAATACTTGCATTAGTCCCTTTGGATCATTCTTGTAAATTATTAAATATCGCGTCTTATTGTTTGATTCCAAGTTTAACGTGCTTGATCTATCATTAAACCATAATTTATTTTATTTGAGCTCTTCTTTTTAGATAAACTCGGTTGCGATATATAAAATGAGAACTTATTGTTTAACTTCTTGGAAGAGAATAGAACATGCATACCCGGTTCCCGTGAGCGGGCTGTCAATTTATTTTTTGATGAAATGTTCAAAAAAGGCCATTGTCATGCAAAGAAAGAAACTCCTTCATGAATAAAAGAGAAAATAAGAATAGTATAGATATTACGTATTGAATAGCTTGTTAAGACACCTGTCTGCATTAATTAAACCCCCTTCTTAAAGGTACCAGGAACAAGTAAGGATATTCATGAATGCACTACGATCGCATCAAAATTGAACGCGTTCGATATAATTCTTTCATGATAGATATTGATAACACCATGTTTTGAGTGTATCAGTTATTAATATATTTTATGTAGCCTCTTTTTGATTTTTCTCTTTAAATAGAAAGCATTTAGTTTAAATAGGCTTACACTGAGTGCATTCTATTAACAGAAAAAAGAACATGCAAAGTTGAAAAAGTAAACGATCTCATACAGTCCCCCCCCCTTTATTGGTAATGCATGACATTATTTAAAAGAATTCTTTAGTTTTACTAATTAAGCTGGCTAATTTGTGTATTGCATTTGAAGTGCTTATGTCTTGATCAATAACTGATGGACTCTCAATTTCACTTTTTCATGTAGCTGCTGATTCATTTGGTTGATAAAAAAGTGTATATCATGGGGATTTGAATAATACACAAATTTAGACTTTGACTGTATTCATAAATCACTGGATCAAGGGATAAACGCCCAAGCTTCTTTAAACGTCTATTACTGCTGTAATTTTAAACTTACAAGAAGATACTCGAGTTGTTTATTAAGTGTCATTCTTACGTGTACACATGATACGTAAAAAAGGGGGGTAAATCTTCGCTTTTTTATACATGGACAGAATAACACTAATTCCTAGGCCTCTTTTTTTACTAGTAAAAAGAAGGCTGCCCACACCTATAAAAAGCGTTTTGTTTGCTTGTTTGACTAGAAAAGAAATAGAAAATAGTATAATATGTTAGTGTTAAATATGATGATGCTATTTTAATGATAATAAAATATTATGCAGTTTTATCTGCACTGATATATAAAACTAAGTCAACGTTAGATTACACAGTATATCATCGTCTATCAAACACACATCTTACCATTGTTGCCTCTAATGAATGTATCTCCATATCTGTTTTTTAATCGACCATCAACATATTCTTCTGTATTCTCTAACGCGATATTCATATAACCATCCAAGCAAGCCAATGTTCCTAATCATGCTTTTTATTAATTTATATTTCATTCATCTCCAATAATTACCTTTGTAGTCAATGCCAGAATTAAGCTTCACTTTAACAGGTTGACCCAGTACTGTGCTCAGAAAGTCAGTAGGTGATCTTGACTTTTGTTGATTCTCCATAAGATTTTATTATAAAGAAAAAAGAAAATAAGAGAAAAAGAAAAAACCAAGTTGAAGCGTCAGTTTGTAACGAAACAGTCACTTTTTGACACATCAAACACATCAGCTTTCTATTTTGTTTTAGTCGGTCAATCCCTCCCCTTTCCTCCCTTTCTTTTGCATGCACACGCTTTCTGATTGACTCACTCGCTTTTTCTCTTTCTCATTCTTTGTTTATATAAAAACCTCCTAAAGTCTTTATAGCGCCAGTTTGTGAAAAAATCAACCTATTCTTCATGTTCAACTTCCGCATCAGAGCTTGTCTTTTCCCTCTCCATTTTTCCATTTTTCTCTCTCTCTCTCTTTTATTTTATGATACCTTCGGTTGTACTAAGATCACCTCAACTTGTGCAAAAAGTGTTAAAGGTACCATGGATAAGTCCATCAATGTCCTTTTATTCTTATATGATGAAAATAGAGCTTCCACGCTGCTGGTGGATATGATGCACTTGTCTTACCTGGAGTAAAGCATTATAGTGCACAATTACCCTTTAATGACACTTGATTTTTTTCTTTTGATAGCTCAAATTGGTTGATACTAAGGATGGCAGTGTTTCTGCCGAGTTTCAGGTAGAAAAGAAACACTTGGTAAGATTACTTGTTCTATTGAGCCATTTTCTATCTATCATTCATCTAACTCCTCCTGTTAGAATCGCTTAGAGTCCGTCCATGGTGGCCTCTTGGCTACAGCAGTAAGTGCTTCACCTTTTTTTTTTTTTGTTTAGGCAACAGACCCATTGATATCTAATCTACCCAAAGGTAGATATTGGTGGATCGTTAGCAATTGCTTCCAAGGGATTGTATGCTACAGGTGTTAGCACAGATATCAACATCAGTTACATTAGTGGAGCAAAGCTAGGAGAGACCATTACACTCAAGGCTAGAGTGGATAAATTAGGAAAGACATTAGCCTTTACGACTGTAGAATTGTATGCCAAAGATCGCTTAGGTACGATGGTTATTTCAGCTTATAATTTATTAACCAAACAATCATAGTTGCGTTAGGAAGACATAATAAATTTGTAGCCTTGGCATACAAACATCCCGAAAATGAATTAAAGGACTAAAGTATTCCCCTCACCATTTTAGACATAGTGAATAAAGACTGACAGCTAAAGAATGATTAAATAGATGAATCTATTATACAGTGCTCATAGTCTATGATAATCACTAGTTTACTAAGCAAGCGTGTGTCTATAATAATATGCTTCAATGCAGCCCATTCAATTTACAATTTAAGATTCCGTTTGTGTTCAAGTGACGTGCCGCTCAAAGGCACCTTTCTGTCTTTCTTTTTTTTATATTTATTTCATCTTGTGTAAAAAGAAACAAGACCTGTAGATTCTGATAATAACTCTGCTACAATTCACTTCTTGACAGCAATTTATTAAACAACCCTTTCAAGATGATGAACAGTATTAATAAAATTTCGCAAGAAATCCTTGCGAAATTACCTCTCTTTAGACTGAAAGGTACACACACACAAAAAGAAACAATATATACTAATATTGTTCAAAAGACCTCATTAGAGCAGTAAGGGCCTGCAAGACTGCAGCTGAAGAAAGAGCAGTAATTCAAAAAGAAAGTGCCAACATTAGAACAGCTTTCAAAAGTGAAAATCCTGATACACGCCATACCAATGTTGCAAAATTACTCTATATTCACATGCTCGGTTATCCTGCGCACTTTGGTCAAATGGAGTGCTTAAAATTAGTTGCAAGTCCTAAGTATGCTGATAAACGATTGGGTTACTTGGGCATTATGCTTCTCATTGACGAAAAGACAGAAGTGTTGACCTTGGTGACAAATAGTTTAAAAAAGTAAATATCAATAGAAAACACAAACAGGGAAGCTAACCCCAATATAGTGACTTGAACCACAGTAATATGTTTGTAGTCGGTTTAGCATTATGTACAATGGGAAACATTTCCTCTTCAGAAATGGCTCGTGATTTATGCTCAGAGGTAGAAAAGTTGATGGGAAGCTCAAATACATATATTCGTAAAAAGGTATAAATGACCTACAAACAAAAAAGGGAGAGCTAAAGATTTACTCTATATATTTTATCAGGCGGCTCTATGTGCCTTACGTATCATTTCTAGAGTACCAGAGCTACACGAAAACTTTTTATCTAAAGCAAAGTCTCTGTTAAATGACCGTAGTCATGGTGTACTTATCACCGGTATCACCTTGGTAACAGAGATATGCCAACAGAATCCGGAAATAATCCCTACATTCAGAAAGGTACACCCATCTTTTTCATTTGGATAACATACTGACGCCTGACATATAGGCTGTTCCTTTACTTGTCAGACATCTCAAAAACCTCACCAGTGCTGGATTTTCTCCAGAGCATGATGTTACAGGTGTTACCGACCCTTTCCTTCAAATCAAGATACTCCGCTTACTACGTATACTCGCTAAAGGCGATCGTGAAGCATCCGAAGCGATGAATGATATCCTTGCCCAGGTTGCAACAAACACGGAAAACACGAAAAATGTGGGCAATTCGATTCTCTATGAAACCGTGTTGACTATTATGAATATTGAAAGTGAAGCTGGTTTGCGTGTATTGGCGATCAATATTCTAGGAAAGTTCTTGAGCAATAGAGATAATAACATCAGGTAATTATATACTATTGTATATCGGCATTCCCTTTGATTTACTTGTATTATAGATATGTCGCATTGGAGACACTAAACAAGACGGTCGGCATAGAAACACAAGCGGTTCAAAGACATCGTAATATCATTCTTGATTGTCTTCGAGACGGTGATATATCCATCCGTCGTCGTGCTTTGGAATTGAGCTTTGCGCTGATCAATGAAGGAAATGTGCGGGTATTGACACGTGAGTTGCTCGCTTTCTTGGAAGTAGCCGATACGGAATTCAAACAAGGAATGACAACAAAGATTGCACTTGCTGCAGATAGATTTGCTCCCAATAAGCGCTGGCACATTGATACAATGCTTCGCATGCTTAAATTAGCTGGAAACTATGTTCGTGAAGAAGTCCTTGCTGGCTTTATTAGTCTTATTGCCAGTTCGAGTGATCTGCAGCAATACACTGTCCAGAAGCTGTATGCAGCATTGAAGCAGGACATTTCCCAAGAAGGTTTGGTATTAGCAGGTGTTTGGGTTATTGGTGAATATGGTGATGTGCTCGTCAGCAGCGGCGCGTTTGAAGAAGAAGAAGGCGTGGTCATTGATGTATCTGACAGCTTAGTCATCGGATTGCTCCAATCCATTCTTTTAGGACCTTATGCCAATCAAGTAACACGTGAGTATGTGACAACTGCTCTAATGAAACTGTCATCTCGTCTGTCAGATGCAAGTGCCCAGTCCAAGATCAAAGAATTACTTAATCAGTACACTGTCAGCATGGAAGCTGAAATACAGCAACGTGCTGTTGAATATACCAACCTGTTCTCATATGACTCTATTCGACCCGCCATTTTGGAACGTATGCCTGTTCCCGAACCTCGTACTATTATCGCAAACAACTCTACTTCGGACAACACTCATACTGGACACACCGCGTCTTCTGGCAAGGCTAACGGTCCTTCAGATCAAGACCTACTTTTGGACCTTATGGGTGTTGGAACAAGCGGAGGTAGTGATATAGGTGGTGGTGATAGCTCTGATATTATGGTGCAAAGTCCTACCGCGACCATGTCGCCTCAGCAACCCAAGGCCTCTAATGCAGACTTGCTAGCTGACCTCTTTGGAGGTTCTTCTTCTGTTGCACCTACTACTACTATTACTACAAGTGCAACATCACCAAGTATGAATAATGACTTGATGAATCTCTTGGGACATAGTCAAGCACAGACACCAAAGCCTACACAGCCTCCTGTAGATCCCTTGGAAGCCCTGGGTCAATCCTTCTCAATAACCACATCATCTAGCCCTGCTAATGATTCTGTTAAAGGTTATGAGGCCTACTCAAAGAACGGACTTACCATTCGTCTTGTGCCCTCTAAAGATCGTACAAATCCAGCTATTATTAATATACAAGCCTTATTCATAAACAATGGACAAGCAACTATCAGTAACCTACAGTTCCAAGCTGCCGTACCCAAGAGCCAACGTTTACAGATGAATGCAGCCACAAGTAATATGGTTCAACCTAATGGTACAGAAAAGCAACTAATGCGAGTAAACAATCCACAACAGGTAAGAGAATACAAGTAGCAATCAAGCCACGGTAACTAATACTCTTTAAGACAACGGTTAAACTTCGATTACGTATATCTTATGATGTAGCAGGAGAAAGGATAGATGATATTGCACAATATGGACCATTCCCTGAAGGTGCATTCTAAATGACATAAAAAAAGGGCAGACTAATGATATATATTGTACTTTTGTGCTATTAAATATTTTGTATTTACAACCTATGCTTTGTTATGTGTAATGATTTATTGAAGATGACGCCTAATGCACTTGGGCCATAGTGTTGTTGATTTTGTATTCATCTTTTTAGAAATGTTTTCTTTATTTAATAAATTGAGTATAGTCCACATCAAAGATCTACTTGATGGTTGTAAAGAAAAGGTTCTAACGGCACAAACGAATACACATTTGAAATAAATTATACATCACTCTCTTGCTTTTTCTTCCACTCAACAAAGTCATCAAACAGTACTGGCCCTAAAATGTTGTGAATTATTTGCCATGTTCTTTTTTTCTTACGTACAATAAGAAACAGGATCATATCCTGATAGATCTTCAGGTATATTCTTGCCAAATTCCAATAGACTCCTCCATTGATCCTTGTTGATGACCTTTACTGGCTTTTTTTCCTTTATGCAATACAAAGAGTCAAAAAAACAAAACAAAAAAAAGAGAGAATGATGAGTGAGTAAACTTACCTGAAGGAACTGGATAAATGGCTTGACAATAGGATATTTATTCACCAACAACACTTGCCAAAGAGCAATAGCAACCTATTAAGCTGATGAACTGAATGTCATTCATAAAAATAATGTACAAACCTCCACATCCATACTCTTTTGATTCTCTGACTTTGCATAAGGAAAACAAAAATTATATAATCCTTCAAACTCTTTATCATGCTTCTCAACACATTGCTCTGTTGCTGATAGTGCCAGTTTTAGTTTACTTTCATTTTCAACGCTAACATAAAACGGTGTGAGTGTTTTGATGTTATTGAAATAAAGGACCTACTTTAATGCTTTCATCCCATGATGCCATTCATTCTTGGTAATATATCCCATTCTACTACAATTCATTTTCCAGGCAATGATCAAAGGAGTGATCTATAGAGAGATCAATTCCGTTATTCTATTCCAATCTATCTATCTATCTATCTCTCTCCTTTATTTAATATTACACTTTCAAGAGATACGCCAATATCTGAAAAGAAGGCTTGACAACCATCAGGACCCATTATATCTGAATTATCTGAATCCTTGTATTTATCATACCACAACTGACAATGTCTATCAAATATTTTCTGATAACGCGCGTCAGTTGGTACGCGTTGTTTATTTTTTTTTCTAAATTTGTATTTCCGTTTCTTTGAGATACCTGCTCTTTACTATTTTTTCTGTGTGAGTGGAATGAAGAGTAAATGTAGACTATATTCATTACCTTGTCTTGGGTGCTTTATTAGCATACCTTTGCTTTCTTGGTATTAGTTGAGCTGGTTCTGTGATTGCCTTGCGTTTTGGCATATTCAATAAAATAACAAAAAAAGGAAAAGGAAAAAAAAAAAGAGAGTGTATTTATGCCTCTCTTTCTCTCTTTGTATACCGTTTCCTTAAAGTCACAGAAAAAAAAAATGCACTGTGCATAAGGTTAATGTGCCCTGTTAAAGCCACTGTAAGGGTTTATCAACATATCATGGTAAATTCTCTTTTATAATAAACAACAAAAAAAAAGAACAAGTTGATATTACATTATGTATTATTAAAAGAATTAATAGGAAAAGAGGGGGAGGGGGGGGAATTAATATGTTATACAAATGATACCACTATTACAACTACTGAGTAACTGAATGCAATAAAATAAAATGATGAAGTATGCTACTGTCAAGTCTCTTTCTTTTTATCTACTTTTCATCTTTGCTTCTTCTCTAGCCTTCATGACTTGATGGTATTCTGTATTCAAAAGCTTATCCCAAAATGTAAAAAAGGGTTGAGCAAAATTGGTTTTGATTCCATGAGGTTGATGATGAATGTCATGGCTAATAAATTATAAGAAAACTCCATTCTCTCTCTATAGCCATAAATACTTACTAAATCACATTATTTCCAAAACAGACTGTCAAGGGGTCCCAAGGGAAACAATAACCACAATGATCATTTACTACAAATCATTAATACGATTCACACTTTTATATTCTATTCTTACCTGTTTTCAGTGTGGAAAAGGTGAAAAAGTACATGCCCAGACGAGGAGACATACCAGTGAGCTCAAATGCAAGGGCAGCACCACAACTATCTAATAAAAAGCCTTCAAGAGGATGATTATAGAGTGCTCCAAATGCATAAGGCACATAGAGTCGATGATGATGTGAGTGCATATACTTGTACATAAAAGTATAAGTGTGTGCCATACGATGAAGAACGTATTGGTGTGTATCAACAATAAACCTATAATAATATATATATTAATATATAGATGCCATATAATCTATATATAATCTTACATGGCAATAAAGAACTGAAGGGAAGGCACGATATAGTTTTGAATGAATATAGCAATCTGATGTGCCATTATATAACACTCTTCTATTGGTAATCCCATCCATTTAACCATCAGAGGGGTCATATAGTTTGTGTATCTTGCAATAGCCTGTTCATACTTTAACTGATCTGCGGCATGGTCAACTCCTTTGAAAAGGGCAATTCCAAGAATGATTTGAACCAAGTGTTGAAGTGCAACCATAACTAAGACCTTTTTGAATGAAACTCTATTTCTGTTTTGACGATCCTCTGGTGAGTGAATTCTATATTGTTCAAAAAAAGGAATCTTCAACTTCATCAAGATTTCATAAAAAGTACAGACAACCCAGTAGACAGTAATAGGAACCCATATAGCCATTACTTCATCATCCCATAAGTCTAAGGATAATGTATCCGGTTTAATATTTTCCTGTTGTAGAGTTGAATTCATATAGAAAAGTTGAACAGGAAAGAGAAAAAAAAAAAAAAAAGTGGTGCTGAGTCCCTTTTTTTAGTTATTCATATTCAGTCCACCAACCAAAAATCACAGACATCTATAAAATAAAAGCTGGAACATCCGATCAAAGGGCCATAATTAATCTACTCGACTTTGTTTTAAACTTTACCAGGTAAATAAGAGGATTTCTAAGGGAAATTAATAATAGGGGTTAAGCAAAGATATAAAGTGATAACGATTTTATCATTCGATAAAGTCGGCCTGCATAACTTTTATAAAGAAAGACGTAATAACCGCGGTACTACACACAGCCAATTTCATAAAGAGCCTCTTTCTCTTCTTTATTTTAATAAGCAAAAGATATTATTGCTAATGATCCGTTGCTTAAATTCATGAAAGCCTAAAGTAAATGATTTTCCGAGGAAATTCTCAGCAGATGAGCTCTATCTTGTATATTAAAGGGCAGCAAGGAATTATGCTCAAAACACTAATGTCTCAATTGTTTTGGCTGGATATAAACAGGACTCCTTTTTACTTTTTGAGTCATTCTTGATAAAGGGTGTATGATCTACAAAGATGTTTTGTAGACCATGTTTGTTTAGGGAGATACCAACAAGCGCAGATGTATACCGACATTTCATTATGCCTTGTTTATTTGTATTTTACAGGTTAAATTTTTTAACATTTAAGGCAACTAAAAATTTCAAAACTATAAATTTTGATGAAATTTATGATAAAACTATATTTGATCAAAGCAAAAATCACTAGTAAATGAGCGTGTATATTTATATATATTTTGTAAGCAAAGCCCATTGCTGCTCTTCCTTGTCATATGCAGGTAGATCCAGTGTTACGCAAAACATATGCACAAGGTCAGCCATTTTTACCAAAAGTTCAACCATTTCCCTTTTTCTTTCCTTTCTTTATTCTTTGAATGCCTTCAATTATACATCTACCAAGAGAAGTGCTGGCATCTATCTTTGAGTCATTATCCAAAACTGATCAATTTACATGTCAACGTGTTTGCAAGAGCTGGTCAGAGGTTACAAGACGTTTTTGTTATGAAGAAATCGCTATTGATAATACAAATGCTTTGGCTCTTTTGCGCTGCTTTGATGTATCCAAGCAGTCCACACATCCTGTTTTCTTATATACCAAGTCCTTAGATATCGAGTGTTGCACATGTCCCAATCATGAGCATAACCTGACCTACGAAGAATTCAGAAGACTGATCCAGTACTGCACTCGTCTCGAAAAGCTCTCTATGACACTCTACTCGATTTATTGGGAATACCTATCAAACATGAAGGAAATTCGTCTCCATCGTATCCAGACTCTGATCTATCCCGGGCCATACAGAGGAAGAATAGCAGAGGCCGCAAGCAGTTATTACAGCTCTCTTTACCTCTTTCGTGCTCAACTTCACACACTGGTGATTCATTGCTCATGCGATAGCTGGATACAACAGTCTTTTGGTCATCTACTAAACTACTTGTCTTTGTTTCCAAATTTGAAGCATTTGAACATCTCGGCAGGAAGTCAAAAAACGATGATCTACCTCCATGATCTGTTGCAGGCATGTCCAGCCTTGACGAAGCTCTGTTTTCAACTCGATCACCCATTCTATGCTCCCAACACGGCTCATGGTGAATTGACTAGCTATCCAACATTGGAAAAGCTTAATATTTATTTGCCCAAATTTTGCATGTCCTCCCTAAACTATATCATCCAACGATTTACTGGTCTAAGAAAACTGGTCCTAAGAATCTACCATGGAAAGTCGCATATTTGGACAAAATCAATGACCGAGTATCTCCAGAGGGTGCTGATTCCCTTCCTTCAACAATCATTAATAGAATACTCGGTTAAACTAGACGTAGAGGGTCCTAATGACCATATAGAAGAAACAATCCAAACGTGTTGGTTCGTGCAGGATACGGAAGCAGAGTTTGACATATCCGAGTCAAGATATGAGCGAACTCAATTGGAACTTATCAAGGACAACGGCGGTAATCATAAGCTTTATTATATAGCAACATGGAAACCAACACGGGATTCAGTATCTCCTTGTATTCGCTACATGAAAAACGCTGGAAGCAAGTTCTCGAAATTGACTATAAGCAATTATTCTTTCAGCAGCCATTCTCCTGATCTTGACACCATCCTTCAGTTCTGCCCTTTCATTCACAGTTTAACTTTAGAAGGTCTAGGACCTAAATTCCATAAAAAGATCGCCCCTAGGAAGAATGGACCGCAGCATCATTCTTTGTCAACAATCGAATTGAATCAAACACGATTACTGAAGATCAGGGTAATTCTTGAATTACTCTACGTAAAGGCTCCTCATATCAAAAGGATGGTCATCGCAAACTCTCAACTTGCGGACTATGACGATACAGTTGCGTTACAGAACTATGGTGGTAACAGAATTGAATTGATACTAAACAACGTGCATCAATCCTTTTAAAAAAGGCTTGGATGACGAGGGAAAAGTTTGTTTATTGAAAGACGCGACACATTATTTATTTATTTAACTAAAAAGAAAAAAGATAATAAAAATAATAAAAAAAGAATGGAAAATAAAGAAAAGGTTGTAACGTAAGCGTGCGTCAAGCTGAGTTATTAACGTACAAGAAATATGTGTGAGAAAGAGGAGGGGAAATATTATACATATATTGCTTTGTATTGTATGTGTGTGCGTGTGTGTGAAAGAGATTGTTGCTGATATGAGTATGTTTGTATGTGTATATATTGAGATCACTGTTTTACATAATTATGGGTTTGGAGGAAAATTAGAAAACGAAGTCATCAAGGGATGAAAACCAAGAGAATAGCCCAAGAGACCAGCGTTGTTATACTGCTTGGACTGTTGCTGTCTATTTAGTTTTCCTTGAATACGTTTGCAATAAGATGTATTTCGAATACAAGACAGTAAAGGACGAACACATTCGGCTAATTGTTGATGCTGTTTATCATCAGCATAGTCAAGCGCGGTTTGAACTACGTAGTTTGCATATGAGTCCTTTAACAATCTTTCAAGTTGGTCTTGGTTCATCATTTCTTGAATTAAGTCATGACGAGTGTTGTCCTCAGCAACACGGATACACTGGAGTATTTTGATTAACAAGCAATCAAAAAGATTATAAATGTATATACCTTTTCCATCACATTGGAACTATATTTCTGTACAGATAACCTGCTAAGATGCCCAATAAACTGACGAATCAACTGATCGGAAAAGCTGGCATCACCCAACTCTAGTACATATTGGACGACATAGTTACCATAAGGATCTTGCACTAATGTTAGAGCATGAGCTATAATTTCATTGACTAATTGTTTCTATATATAAAATAAATAAACACAGCTAATGAATAGATTATCATTCGCTTACAGTCTGATGAATAGCAGAGAAGTCAATGCATCTTTGCAATACACAGCAACCATGTCTATGAGTAGCTACTTCAACGCAATTTTGACTAACAGCGTCATAAATAAATTGCTTATCCTTGCTCGTAAATCGATGCAAGCATTTCTGAATAACATGATTTCCATTGATATCCTTGATCAGCATAACCACAATAGGCGATAATGCTCTAACCGTTTCTTGGATCTATATACGATTATTAAGTTTAAGGAGCTTATTGTCATGTAAATTAAAAAAGATGACTCCTTACCTGTTCATCCAAACTGATGAGTTCAATCATTCTTTGCACTGCTCGTGTACCGTGCATATTCAATGAGATATCTTGAATTGATTTTGATACTTGTTCAACAAGCATGGTTCTTTGAATATCTGTACAGTGCTCTAACATTTTTTGACACAAGTAATTTCCAAAGGGGTCTATATGTATAAAAAAAAAGGAGATAAGAAAGTGGGAACCCTTTTGCATATTTTTGCTTTACCGGTCATCAGTTCAACAAAATGAGGAAACACCTGGGTGAATATGATCTCTCTTTGTTCAAAGTCTTGTTCTTCCAGCTTCTTTTGCAGGAATCGACAACCATATTGATCTTTGCAGAGTAAATAAAAGTCTTCCTTCATATCTTCTAAACACATGGATGCAAATTTTTCTTCAATGATACTATTTGAGCTTGCTCTTCTTTGCACAACTCCTTGTCCCAAGTGTGTAATCGAATTCTTTCTAGAACCCGTGGGAGAAGGAGGACGGCTGCTGGTAGGTCTCATAAAGTGAGGAGCCAGTAAGCTGTTCGATGTTGTCGTTGAAGATGACGTAGTAGTAGACGAGGAATGATTTGAGGCGTAGTCTACATTCAACATGCTGTACTTTAACAAAGGTGCTCTTGTAGTACCTGAATCTAAGCTTCCGATTCGCCTTGAAGCTGTAAAGTCAGGGTTGGAGTAAGAGGGTGTCAATCGGTTGATGGATGATGTTGTGGTAGATGATTTGCTGAATATATCTAGCCTTTTCAGAGTATCCATAGAATATTTTCGCATAAAGGGAGCATCATTCGTTTCTTGTGTATATTGCATATCATTCCAATAGGGAGAAGAATAAGCATGATAGCTTTGCTGAGCGTATGTAGTATTCTGATATAGAATGAGTAAGATGAATGACTTAAATATGTATGTGTATACACTTACAAGATTAGGATAACTTTCACGTCTGATCAATTGACGAGTTACTTCATCATGTTGTAGTGGGTGTCGCATTAATATGTCTGGTGTTGTGCTACGACCTTTTTTTTTTTGTTGTGTAAACAAAGAGATTCTTTTTACATGTAAATATTTACCTGTATTATTTCTTAAGAGATGAATATCTGATAATTGAGGAGTAAATGCTGTGTTTTCGGGGAATAATGGACTGCCTATCGATCTCCTATTTTTAAAATGATGTTAATGTTTGTATATTTGACAACTATTTCTCCTTATTTTATATAATACATACGTATCGAGCATAGCGTGGTCCTGTATAGTCAAGCTATTTAATGTTGCAATTTGATTATCAAGGTCTTGATCCAGCATATTTTTAAAATGAATATCTTCGTGGGCGCATTTATCACAATTGCTTGATGACGTTTTCATTGTTATGCCGCTGTTGTGTTATTTTACCTTTTTTTTTTTTCCTCTCTTTTTGTGTATTATTATTATTGTATACGCGCAGAGAAAGAGAAAAGGAGAGAATAATTAAAAGAAAGAGAGAAAAAGAGAGAGAGAAAGAGAAAGAGAGAAAGAAAGAAAAAGAAAGAAAAAGGTTGGGTTATTTTTTATATCCAAATACATACACACACCAACATTTATATATACACACATATATACACACATTTATGATTTAAGGGGTTAATAACAAAATGCATACAAAATGCGGACATCAAATAGAGTGGAATTTATTCAGCAAAAAAGAATACTTACCTCCTCCCTCTCCTTCCTTATTTTTCTCTGCAAAATAACAAAAGAGAGAGAGAGAAAGAGAGAATGTATGATTCTCCCTTTCTAAACATGAATCAATATGTGTATATATTTGTAGTGTTTACAAAGATAGATAAATTCATATTTGCATTAAAAGCTACAGCATTCTTTTATTTTACTTTTGACAAATAACATACCAAAAATGGGTTTGTTTATTGTTTCTGCCCAATCATATCATTAAGGGGAACAAAAAAGAGAGCCTATATATAACTCTTTAGGGGATGAGAAAGGGAAACAAAAGGGAGGTGGATGAAGAACAGTAAA